AGTTACGCTCGCCTACAGATTTTGCAGGAACATTGTAGATGAGGAAAGGGGCGCCATAAACTAATTGTCTTAGGCAAAAATATTTAATGCTAGGAACAAATTTTACGATCCCCAGCAACACTTGTTGAAAACTTATGAGGCTGTCGAGGCTCATAAGTATTGTGCATAGGTTTGTAACATTAGTTGGACTCATAATGCTAAGTCGCGATGATGGTTAGTCTAGTAACGAATATCTATTTCATGCACCACTTATCTCGCTGGATACTACCTAGGTTGTCTAATCCAAGCTAGATAATTCATTTAGGGGGGCAATCACGTTTTCTTAGGGCTCGTCGTAACCAGGTGAGCGAAGTAGCTGGATCGACTACCACCGGCTAGTGTAGGATTTTAGGTTGTGTAGCGCCATTATCCTTCCAAGATATTTCTTTTGACGTCCCTGGATCAAGGTGCTCGTCATCCTGGAATGTGCTGTTAGCTTGTTCGCGTTGTCTCCATCTCTTGGGTGCCATTCCCCCACGGGGCCTTGAGCTAGGAGCTAAAGGGATATGCTAGTAAGTCAAAGCGGTGCCTTAAATTCGTTTACAGGTCCGTAGGTCAGGCAAAATACAAAACAACGGCAGATCGGACGAGCCCGCATGATAGGGGCTTCCCATCGAAGGACTGGCTCCCGATGTAGCGTCGCAAATATCTTCCCGTGGATCGAACAGTCAAGGTGGGTTTCGATAACCTATGATACATGATTTACAGAGCTGGATTATCTTCTACGGCGTAGAATTATTACTTTCTGCTTGGAAGAAGGTTGGCCACGAAATACACGACTACTCTTTGACATGTCTTGCATTTCTGTAAAAAAAAGTTTTTGTCTACAAAGGTTTACCTACCTTGTCTCGTAACGAAAAGCAGTATCCTTATATTTATGATAAATAAACGATACTAATTATCCTATATCCTGCGTATCCAGATATTTTGATTGTTAAATAGTTATATGCTCGTACATTATTATGCCTTAAGGGATGTTTGCAACATACCCTGTCTAATAGAAAACAGCCATTAAGACAAAACAAGGACGTGAAGCAGTTCACCGAGAATTCCGTTGCACCAAGTCTCAAGTTAACAATTCCTTCCGAGATTACAAAGTCACCGGCGCGATAAAATCATAGGTATCTACCTATTACTGATCCTAGAAATCGGTTGATCAATAGTAGATATTCCTAACTAGGTAGTTCCATAGCCTCGTTAGCGAATTCGTTGTACCTTTGAGTAGACGATGGGGAGTTTAATATCAATTGTTTATTTCGGGAAACAAAAAGATCTAGGTGAGTTTTGCACAAGTGGTATAGAATAACAAAATTGGTATCGTCCCCTAAACTGGCATTCAACTACACCTCCATTATTTCAGTATTAGTACATAAGATTTGACGTTGTTCATTAACATAATAGGGAAAGGTTCGATAATTAGTACAAACCGTAAAAATCATTGGTCGATTTAGCCATTTTCTCTTTACTGGCCAATCCCTATGTATCAATACTAAAAATAATGGAGGTGTAGTTGAATGCCAGTTTAGGGGATAGGGAGTGTCCCAGGGGTTGCAAATTACCTACTGCGGTGTCTAACGCTACAAGGCTAAGCTTTACTACCATACTATCTGTCAGTATCATTACAGCGTTCTCTCTCTTGATCGTCCATAGAAGGTCCAAAATATATCTACGTCCCAAATCACAATATACCTAATGCTGGAAGTTACTAGAACATGGCAAGTCAACATTACATAGTCGAGAGTATGGTATGGAGACGGCCGACCTCTTGCTACCATAGTCATCCTTTAAAAGCACCCTATCTACGAAAAAGAATGTGCTAATGCCAGCTCTACAAACCACTCAATACTGGCTTGGGCTCGGGAAATTGGGCGTAGGATGTAATACCAATATATTCGACTGTCGGTATGTCACAGTCCTTAGTATCATAGAAGCTTGAATTGCTACTTTACAAGTGTACAAATACTAATATAAGCAGTCTCTTCGATACAGTTACGCTCCATAACCTATTCTACCCCAAACCCCAAACCAAAGAGTCCGCGACAAATGTATGCCAAAGACACGACGTATTTGGATAACCCTTAAACAATCGAGGAAATACACGTCGTTATCAGGAGACGGCCGAAATAATTTATAATTCTCGTGAATACGCGTCTTTTCCTCGCTATAGCGAGGAACAACGTATGCTATTTTTATCATTCTGAAGTATCGCCTACGTCCCGATACTCAACCACACCCCCAGAATAGCAGAACAGGGCTCTACAAAACAAATAGGCATGCTATCTATCAAATCCTCTCAAGTTATTTGACAATTACGTTCGATTAATACCTGTCTATACTGCACGTGTTCTTGCTCGCCGGCACGGATCATCCTGACATCACGAGCCAAGCATCGCGCAAGCATTATCAACTGGCGCGTGGGCGTGGGGCGATGCGACATAACCATATCGACGCTACTCAGGCTAGACCCAGGAAATAGAATCGGCTTCTTTTCCACTGTGGAGCCAGTGAACGATCTATCTACCGGTATCGAGTCTTAGCCGGAACGGAGAGCAAACAACTTTGATGTTGCATTGGATGGCTATTCTAATGATAGTTCAATGGTAAGTAATCTAGATTAGTCCCTGGTCAGACCCAAAGTTACCTGCGCGAAACTACAACCGCTAATCAAACGATCGCAGTATTAGTTTCTCTCCGTCGTCTAGATTCATACCGCCTAATACGACCGATAAAATACATCCTCACACATAGGGCGCCGAGATCGAGAGTCCACATAACGACTACGAACGTCTCCAGCTCATTACAAAAACATATAACAGGATGGAGCCGATTTGTTTGAAGGTCATCAGTTGGAATCTCTAATATAACCTTGGAGGAGATGTCGCACGAGTGATCAGGTCGACTACTACCAGCCTCCTATGCCGAGTGTTGCGATCGATTCGATTAATAAACTTATAATTTCTCCCCGGATATGCGTATGTTGTAGTTTATCGGTCCGATTGATTCTAATATTAAGAAGAATTTGAGTTGGTAGGTCATAGGTAGAGGAACACCTGGTAAAGGGTATACTTTTCCCGTTAACGTAGCATGGAATAACGCGACAACTCCGAGCGTTCGGAATAAAGGTATCTCATTTACCCTCTCTTTTGGAAACTATATCACCCATAGAGCGCAAGCTAGATCTTGCTGTTTGAAGATTGGACTGGCTATAGGATTGTGGTCACACCAGAACACACGAACGTGGCTAAGAATTAACGAACTTGACTTAGTTAGGCACGTTGGCTGGTTTACAAAAAAATCCATATCAGTGCTGGTCGGATATAAATATGACTAGAACGAGTTGCTAGTAAAGTATATCTATTCAAGTCATTAATGCCCACCTGTATCGACTATCCACCGTCGTTCCGCCTCGTTGTTCAACGAGCTCACAACTTTACTAATACGATACCCCTGACCTTTGATATAGTTCATTAAAGTGGATTTAATTAATAGACCAAATGATTTACCAACAATCCTATGATATTATTGGAGCCACGATTATATAACGTGGCTAGTCAGCTGCAAGGTCTTCCAAATTTGGGCTACTTTGATGTCAAATCCTATAATAGTAGTAACTGTCAAAGAGGTACCTACAGCCGTAGACACAATACTAGTAGTTTAAAATTCGCAACTAATCGCAAGCAACTCTTCCGAGCTTACGTCTAGGCTATACGTTTGGACAAATTGGTGACTTACACGGATCCCTAAACGTCTCTTGGGAGTGCCCGCTGTCAGCATTACCGGCTAGCGCTTCTACTATCGCCGTCGCCATGATACCTAACTACCTAACTACTAGCAACTTTCATTTACCCTGTTACTATTGCGGAGTTCGACTAGGGGGTGATCAAATTCTTCAGTGAGTATACCCAAACTATTTATAACATATGAATTGTATATTGTGTGATATTTTATGGTGTATATATTACTTTTACGACGGGATTGCAGCCTTCTAAGTATGGGATATTTTCTCTGAAAATATCGTTTATTTTAAATGTCTTATCTAAAGCTTTAACACTGTAAAAGTTATCATATATTATTCCTTTCGTTAATTTCTCCTTAACCATAAGCTATAAGTCGATTATGGAGGGTATACATGGTGGCTTATTATTTGTAGATGGTTTAATAACAGCACGTTAATTTACCTAGGTTAACGCGGTCTAAATAAACATCGAGTTCAAAGCAAACAAAACGGGATGGTGTCCGAGAAGAATGGGTAGGTAGGTAGTTAAACGTCACAAAATTAAAACCCATTCTGATCAAACACGCAGTATTATGAGTGATACAAACGTCCATAAAGTTCTACTACAGTAACCGAGTCCCGCTTAAAGCACAAGAAGACCTTGTTACTAGTGCAAGGTATAACGGAAGGATGGACTTATAAAAGGGCAATATTAACATAGCAAATGTAAAGGACTTAAGTGTAGGTATGGTTGCGCGCATCATGGTTTAATACCTAGATTTCATTTACTCATGATTTGAAGTGGATTGATAGTAGACGTCAATGAGGCTATTGCGAGTTGTACCTAGAGTCAATACTTGACTTCCATGCCTGCGCGAGTGGCATACTTACTAGTGGCAAATGGACTTGCTGATAATGTATTGACACAAAGCTCTATTACTAAACCTTCAATAAGAATTATATACTTCATTGTTATCTTTGGTTGTCTCTTTTCTAGTTCCGGATGCAATTTAGAGACCTTTTCCCCTGAATACATCTACTGGGCTGAACTATTATGAAGATAATGATGTGATAATCAATGTTATAACTTTGCTTATATTCAATAGTTGTTAACCAACTTCATTTTCCTCACCTTCATTTTATGTGACGCTCTTTTAAGATCGAGGCATTAATATAATTCTGGCCAGATAGAAAAGGAAATGGATCAGAAATATGGGACATAATAAGGATGGCTTTCTATGGTAGCGTCGACTAGTTCGTTAAAAAATCATAACCTAACCATTTAGTTGCTTACAACAGATTATGTCTTTGTAAAGCTGATTTCTTTTGTATAGCTTTTTGGCGGACCCATATCAAAGTCACGCCTTATCTAGCAGGGGACGGCGATGGCGGAACCATCAAGTCTTAAGTTTACTCCATACCTATACCTTTTACGGGGATAACGCAGCATGGCATGGGGCTTATTCAGAAATTCCTCGTCGCTTATTAATACCTATTACCGAGTATGCGTGTATCCATGATTGCCTAGGCGTATATAGGGCAGTTTGCCCTCCCCTTTTCGTTCCGAAACACCTTATTTAGATAAACCAACCGAACGCCGTGAATGCTCGCTTCGCCTTTCCCCCTTCCTTGATTTTTGGGAATAAACCGTGAAAATACCCTAATCCAATACCAACGCACTACCAATGGACACGCCTTAAAATTTCCTACTGGGTGACTTGAGCTGAGGTCACTTGCGCTTGTGCTGCTCGAAGATGTTCCTCATGTGCTCATTCTCGAATTTCTTCTGAACACGAGAGGCCTTCTTCCGCTTCGGTGGGGCCTTCTGGCCGAGATTTATGTTCTTCACCTCGCTTGTGGCCTTCTGACCCAGTGCCTTCAGCTTTCTGGGCATTTCATCGACAGAGGGTAGGGCCTCTTGGAACCACATTACTCGAAATTCCGGGTCCACTTCGTGATGCAGGTCTGGAGTATCGGGCCAGATAATTCGTGCGTGGGTGTCCTTTCTGGTTCGTATACCTATGACCTTATGTTCCCGCTCCAGCTCTTCGATAGCGTTATCGCAGTCCGGCCAGCCATCTTTGATATCCTTGATTGAAATGCCTCCTTGATCCTTCCTCTGCTGCAAATATTCCAGCAGTTTTATCTTGGAAACTACACCGGGAAATTTGGCCCTGTACTCATACGTACCGGTGCGCCATTCGGGTTGCTGGCTTGAACTAACTTTGGATTTGGGAGCTGGGCTGAACAGGATGCGCGAGTGGGTTTTCAGACTATGGACGAATGCGCGTTGCTGGTCCTCGGGGAGGTGCTGCAGCGTCAGGTGATCTAATATCTCCTGCAAGGGCCTAGGACTGCGCTTTTCTTTGAGGAATTCGACGGCGAATGAGAGATGCGTATTACTGTGTTCGCCGAAATCTTTCGCAGCAGCGGCAGCAGCAACGGCAGCGGGCGTTGGGGTCGAGGCATGATTTGTTGTAGCAGCATCTCGGTCGCGCTTCTGACGCTTGTTATCGGTCTTGCTCGTACTCGCGCCGGATGGAGATGCGGTCGATGAGGCGGGTGCTGATCTTTTTATGCCGTTAGCAGGTTTGGAGGGCGACATGGTGGGCGGTTTGGAATAGATTTCTGTGATTTGTGTGATATGGCGACGAGAAAGTTGGTTGATGAAAGCGATCTCGTCAAGAGACGGATGGAGAAAGAAAGAAGAATGGAAAGACGAGGCTGAGTAAAGTTCAATTGTTAGAGGTAATGTTCTAAGATTAGGTCCACTAGATAAGATACTGCGATTAAGTACAACACGTCCACACGTGGCTTGAAAGCAAAGTTCAATACATACAGTGGTGTAGTGGGGCTTTTGAATGTAGCTCTTTAGTGAGACGACAGGCCTAACTTTAAAAATCAAAGACACAGGTTCCGGATACGTATTATCTTTGCAAATATCAAGAATTAGTGAATTATCGAGTTTATATCAGGTATTACTCAATTGTTATTTTGAATGGCTATATATTTTCCGAACACTGTAACAGGTGGAAATTGATATGAATGAATCATATGGTACGTTTGAGGCATCGGAATTCATTTACTATAGTTATCGTGGGAATTGAAAAAATAAAAATGAATAAGTACCTACCTAACCTACCTGGCTGAAACTGGAAACTGATTCTGATCTGTGACATCGGATTATTGGAAAACATATTAAGTGCGTTACGGCTAATAATTGGAGATAATGTTTTACTTGCATTAGTTGATTGCTATTCCCTACTGCTTTAGATCATCGGGTTTATTAAAACTGCCTCTTATTAAAGTGATCGCTATCTCTTAGCTAACCAGCTCTACTAAAGTTGAATAACCATTTCTTCACCTGACTTCCTGGTTCTCAATTAACCAAGTAGTCTGATGATGATGATGAGACGTGGACTAATACGTTATGAAGAACCAAATAGCCCGATCTATTAGGTATTTATCAAATACATTGCCGAGAGGATATCGATCGTCCATCGCCTGAATCATGTTGTACGCTCTTAATCTCCCAAACATTTCCTGCCGAATATACGGATTCGTTTAAGCCTCCTTGCCTTGCTGCGACTGGAAGTATTGGAAAGCACCGAAACCGAGTATACCTCCAATGAAGATAATAGCGTACAAAGCAGTTCCCAAACCAGCAGAGCTTGTGTTGGCAGCAGGCGCAAGGGAGGACTGTTGGGCCTTGGGGGACGGGTCACCGGGCTGTATCCAAAAGCTGTCAGCATATCGAAATAAGAGAGGTATGGTAGATTAAAGTATAGAGAAGAGCATGAGGCTCTCACCTTTCGCTTAAGAGTACCGACGAGGAGTTGCTCTAAGGTTTCTCGCGCTTCATCGCTGTGGCCGACATCTTCGAAAGCCTCTGTCGCATCTTGGCCACCGACATCTAACATAACCTCTTCACCACCGCTATAATGATAATGAAAACGGGTCAGCTTACATGTTATTAAGTCCGAACGGCGACGATTAGTTGCAGGAACGTGGGAAGGAGTTGCGAGTGGGAATCGCATAATGCGCTAGGGCACTTACGGATGTTCGTCGACGAATTTTGTACAATCGTAGATCTTATCGTGGATAACAACAAAAAGATCTTTCTTGGTGTTGTGTTCAGCAACATCCTGGTAGGTATACTCCTTGTCCGCCATTTTGAATTTGTTGTCTAAATCTTTTCTTTAAGGATAAAGAAAGAAACTTGTCAATAGCGATGGCTTGTTATGCAGACAACAATGATGCGATCTGGAATTTCGAGTCGAGATGAAGGCACACTCGGAGACGGAGTTCGGGGATTGTTGAGAGGAACTTTGGAAAGTTGGGGGATAAGAAGGCTTGTGAAATTGTATTGGTGGTTCATTTCTTTAAGTTGGACTGCCTTCTCCCCTAGAAATTTCGGAGCTAGCGGTCTGCGGAGTACACGGCCGCCCCGATCCTCACAAGTTCTAGCGAATCAGAGTTTCCCTAATTCATTTATCAGGATGCTGTGGGGATTATTGGGTGAGCTCACCTAAGATGGATGGGTCAATGGACCCTGAGATTGGTTAGCTGGCTAGCTGGTTCCATTAGGTACCTCTGCAAAGGTGTTACACCCTACCTAGTAGACGCGTGGGAGGCGTACCTAGGTACCTAATTATGTATCATTTATGCACACCTCGGCTGGTCGGTAATGTACTCCTCCAAGGACCAGATAGCGGATCGGTACTTGTTATGTGAGCATAAGACGTGTGTACATAGTATTGCACAACTCATGATTCAATAGTAGGGTACCTAGGTACCTAATGTAATTAGCATTGAACCTTCAATTGAGCTTCTCAAGTTCCGATAAGGTCACGACATCGAGTCAACTTTTCACATATTATATGTATATACCAACTTACCTACACGCATCATGTGTAAAATCGAACACGTTGTTCTTTATCTTATAAATTTATCATGGATCTATATCGCATCTGTACCAATACCCCCCTTCACCTTATAAACCAATCAGTACAGTCCAATCCCGAGGCTTCCGTCGGATCTTGTTTGTGCTGAATGATGGGATACATCTTGTATCACCTTTGGCACTATGTAGCCATGACCTGTCAGTTATGAGCGTACCTACTGGGGTCCCTATATGTAAGTTGTCTTACCTTATCTGCTTATGTACCTATATTCGGTGCTCTCACCCTTTGAGCAAAACATCCCAGTAAAGTTCCGCGTATTTTACAACAGCGGGGAGAAGAAACCTCTCATCTTTAGAGACGACGTGTTAAGGAAGTATGCCTAGGCAGTGAAATCCATCTTTCTCGACAGATTCGGGATACTACATCGTGAAATCCGAGCTGGTTTACTTGAACGAATACGAAGAGCGGGGGGTCAGATACCAAGAGCATCTAACGATCTGTAAAAAAGTTCCTTACACAAGATCGAAAAACTCCGCCTGGGTTTCGCTCGTCTTCCATTGTTCAACAGCCTCCCCAGCCATCAAACCGGGGACATAACACTCTCCGATGAAAGAATATTTACCCTCACCGAGCTCCCGGATTACATAAGGCACCTTACCACCGAATAGGATCACGACTATATCGTCTCTTTCTATTGTTTCGGGACCTATCCCCATCAAATTTCCTGCCGTGATGAAAAATCGTCTATGCAAGCAAGCCCTTGTAAAGGCCTCGTGGAACCGGATTGAGCTCGAAGATTTCCAAAGAGTATCTGACCACTTCCATTTTTGGCCGATTCCTGAGACCGGTATTCGCTTTCCAAGCTGCTGGAGTAGCCATTGTGCTGCATCGTCGAGGAAGTCAGGATCCTCATTGATCGGCCGTGTCGTATCGCTGAGACCTGCTGTGAGCGTTGAAATAAATGTATGCGGTATGTTCTTTGGTCGATACATATCTGGCCTCCTCTCTTCCAGATTATTCGCCTTGTCGATCCAATGTGCTATTAAACTCCAGGCCGCCCCAACAAAGTCACGTTCTTCTTTGTACGTCTTGTATCGGAATCCGTAACTTACAAGTTTATCCCCGTACGCTCTTATTCCACCTAGGGGAACCCTGATTCCCTTGACAGAAAGGCATCCTGGGTCGGTAGAATCACCAATAGTCAGATGCTGGTTACTGTTTGCGTTGTATGGTGGATTATCCTGATTATGGCCAACCAACTCAACGCATGCTTTTGGCTGACTCCAGTCGGGTACCCAAGATGGCCACGCTGTGGTTTTTAGCCCTTGGATTCCGCCGGCATGGGATAATGCCGAAAGCTCCCCGTGTTCTATCAGGAGGAAGCGAATTACATTCTGATAAACTTCATTGATGGGTTTACCGTAGACCGGTTCGATTAGCGGGTCGAGCCTGTCTGTATTTGCAGTCTCTTCTGCTAAACTGTAGGTTGCATATACCTTGTCTTCTTTGAGAGTTGCTTTCCTCCCTCGAAGGTCCCGTAGCATCTGAAGTAAGGGCCTTCTCTTCCCCGGCGTCATATGCATATGCCACATCGCGGCCACTTCGGATATTGGCAGAAGGTCTCCTAGCTCTCCCTTAAATTCAACGTTAGTGGGCAACGCAAAGCCATGTGTCTGAAACCACGTGGCCGCTTGCCCTAAGGCTGTCCATTGAACCTCCCAGTCTCCTAAGATAGCTATCGCTCGTGGAGCGAGAACAACCTCTTGCACGATCCAAACGCGTTGGAACCATAGGTTGTCGAAGAACTCGCGGAGGTACAGCCAATCCTCAGCCGACGCTTTAGGAAAACCGTGCACTAAATTTCGATAGACGGCATCTGCGGCAGATTTTGATGCCGTAGGGTAAATCTCTCCGGCTTGGACGTTCCTCAACGCTTGTGCGATCATCGTGAGGATGACCGGCATCTTCCCGCGCTGGCCGATGGACTTGCTCCGTTGCGTCAAGAATACGGGTACACCTTGTAATAGTTGCATTTCCGGAGGTGTCGGATATGCAGTATTTGGTAATTTACCTAGCCATATCTTGACCGTATGGGCGTTGGCATAGACTCTATCTATCAATTTCACATGGAGCGATTTCTCGGCGTTATCCTTTTGGTTGATGCAGAGCGCATCGATCCAGATGGGTATTGCCTATGTCAGATTATTACGATTCGAACGCAACCAGTTCCCAGCCGAAACAAGATATCTCACCTGCTGAAAGTCGGAATGCCCTCGCTCTTCTTGCCGGTTGGAGGCGAACTCACGCCAAACGTTGCGACTCGAATGAAGAGGGTGATTTTCTGGCCAAGTGATAACCGAGTCCCAGCGTGGAAGCGGACGAAGATATCTCATGGCCTCGATCAAGTTCTTTGTGACTGTCATCCTCTGGCCATTACACATGATGGGTTCTTCGGATAGCTCGGTGCCCCAAACGTAAGATATCGCGTCAAACGTCGGCGCCTGTTCTACGTCGGCCACTATGACTAGACTACAGTTGATCGCCTCGGATGCAAACCCCGGGACAATTGATAATAAACGTATAGACCCTGCCGGAAGGTATTGGTAAACATCTCGGTTTGCCATCGTACCGCGCTCGACACAAATATGTTTATCGAGACAATACTCCTTTATCCTGCCTTCGTAAATAATAATGTTGATAGCATCCGATGTGAATACCGTAAGGAGGTACTTGAAGAAGTAGGTCTTACAGGCCCCCACTACTATTTCTGATATGTATATCTGACCTACATATGTATTTAAATTGTTCCTACGCAAAACGCCTTCCTATAGGCCGTAATGTCTTAAAGCCGCTCACATTTAGCCGGCGGTTGTGTTCAACTACAAATCTGCCTTACGAATATCCAACTCCATTGGTACGGTGGCGATGCTAATCCTTGGACTAGGCTGACATGTCACATAGCAGGGGAAAAGACGACTTTCGCAACCTTCATCTTCAGCCTCAGCTTCTTCCTCATCGAAAATACAGCTTCAAATTCATCTCAAGGCAATAAAACCCGATCTATCATATACTGTACAATATAAGCATATTTTTCAATATCAGGAGAGATCTTGGGTTACGGAATGCTAGTAAGTGTTGAATAAGCAATGCGTAATTAAAATTAGGGCTCGTTACTGAGCAAGTCTATAGCTGTCTACGCGCAATGGTAACTACCTACATACAATCATGATATGTGATAACCTCACTCAACTCGTCCTTCTAGGCTAGGTATTCTATCAGCCGTCTCTTTCATATCGACCAGGGTCTTCTGGATCATCGCATATGATTCTTACATGGGCTTCCTAAAATACGGGATGGTGGTTAGATTATTAGATATGATGTATGTCTACTAGGAAACTCTCTCCGAACCAGGTATTCCATCACCCTTTTAAACCCATTTCTAATAATTGTTCAGTTTCTTCCCGCTCTGTCTGTTTTTAATGGAGACGCCTCCTAGCTCTCGTCGCTGGCGCTTGTCCTTCGGCATCAGTCTGTTGTGGTGCTTCGTCCGTATGATGATTGACCCCATGTTTTCTGTACCAGTTTTTGTCGGACGAAATATACCGACAGCTCTTGTGATGGTTTTCGGTACTGTTATAGGGCTATTTTTATACATTTTCACGACTTTACATATGCTTTCCAAAGGCGAATCAGAAGAATTCTACTCTTGCCGCTCCCGCACACTGTTCTATGCGGGATATACGTTCTCTCTGGCTACGGGGGGCCGCGGAAGACCCTTCGGCCCCCCTTATACTTGCACTCTATCGCCTCTCTGGTTCCTTCGCCCGGGACAGGTCTTCGCATTGGGATGGTGGTTCCGCGCGTCGCAGTGTGTCGAGTTGGCAGAGATCTTCTCGGTGCTGGCGGCGCTGGCATATTTCGTTGCGTATTGGGCTGGACACGAGTACGTCTTCACACGAACGCTAGGGGGTCCTGGTGTTGAGCTTATGCCGCGGGTTATCACCAGACTGGCATCACGGGATGAATCTATCGGACAGGATGAGGGGAGGATTATGCTATCTTGATTGTATTGTGCGGCGATAAATCGGTTTAATTCATACGATAGCATTACGACGGCGGAAGAAAAGAAGAACTTTTATGAGCCAGAAAGGGAAAAACCAAAAAAAAAAAAAAAAAAAAAAAAAAAAAAAAAAAAAAAAAAAAGGACAAAAGGGACAAAAAAAGTTCGCAACTTGTCAACACCCAGTTCGCATTCGTACCATTGGCAGTTGAGATTCTCTCAGTACTATGCTAGGTGGAAAACAAGTCCTATGAAAAACCCCTCGAGTGTGAATCGAAGGGTTATTTCTACCCTTTCTTTTCCCTAACCGCTAGACCAACTGCCATTTTGTCCTAGAGTTTTGGATCCCGGGTGATGGACTGTGCATCTATTGCAATATTTAACTTACCTTACGATCCCCATGACAACTGCACCTGGCAGCCGGGCGCCAGTGAGGGAGGGGTAAGTACCATCTCATGTCCTCTGTACGTGCAGCGGTTTAGGATACGGCTATTGGTAACTATACCTAAATTTTACTTGAGCATCCTCTAGGAGTAGTATAAATAGCTCTTTTCTAGTTGATTAAGTGTATTTATTTGGTTTACGAGTCCCTTGAGCACATATTCGAGACATAAACTCTACTCATCCGTCGTATTCATCAAAAAGTCCCTTTTATGCTTATGCTAAGCTAAATGACTCAGGCTGGCTAAGCAAACACAACACAACACCCGGGCTCACCAAAGTTGACCAATAACCCACGGCCCATCATCAACAACAAAATATCTAGCAGCACTCTTCCTTCCTGTCACTACTACTATCTTCTGGCAGCCCCTCCAATATCTTGTCCGACACGGTAACTCGCGACCTTATCCCACTCGATCTTCTGGCGCGTGACGGGCAGCTGTCTCCGCAGGCCCTTGAAGGCGCCCTCGCTCAGGCTCGTGAATCCCCTGTTCAGCTCCTCCTGGTACTTGCGCTCGCTGGCGCTGATCTCCTTGGCGATACCGGCTCCGGTGCTCGACGACACGGATGCGGTGATGGGCTTGTTGGTGAGTAGACGTACGTTGCCATCTTCGTAGTAGTGCACGTCGACCTTGATGCTGCCCTCGAGGCTGTTGCTCGACGGATCGAAGATGTAGAGGGAGCGCCAGCGGCCGTTCCTGTGGATGATGGGTGAGCAGTCTGTTTTGCATTACTTTTGCTGATGGTAGTGTTTTGAGGGTTGATGAAAGGGGGCCTGCGTACCAGTAGTTGTTCGGGCTGTACTTGTTGGCCACGATTATAACGGCGACCTTAGAGTCTCCTTCGATCGAGTATACGCCGTATGAGCCGTTCGGGAAGTGCTCTTTGACGTATGCCGAGACACTTTTTAGTGTCGATTTCCTGCGCGCTGCCTATCAGCCAGCCACTCTATACCAAAACACATAGGCCATGCGTACACTAAATCTGCCTGGGGCCCTTCTAGCACGTAGCTCTGGACATTGCTCGCTCTTTGGGTGGCATGGTCGAAGGTAAAGCTTGACGAGCTCTCAACGTCGTAGTATCGTCCGTCGCCGAGGGAGCTATGCGAGCTGATGATAACTTGTTGGGTGCTGCCGGGCAGCTTGGCGGTGACGAACTGCTCCTCGTTGTACCTCTGGAATGCTGGTCCCAGTCTAGAGACAATGTCGGGTTCGTTGAAAGTTAGGGCTTTGATATCTGTAGATAGGTACGATGAAGTGTTAGAAACTACTAGCTTCTGGTGGCGTAGTTGCATGAAGGTTTCCATGAAGGTTTCAGGGGTTCGGGCGTACCGTTTATGACATCTGCCAGCTATTCGGTATCTGTAAGTCAGCTTGCGATGCCCGACTTGTATAAATAAAGAGACTCTAAATAAATAGCTGTCGAACATACCTCGCCAGGGGGTGCACCCTCTACAAAGGACTCCACGGTTTCTAAAGAGGTAGCCATCTTGGGTCTGTATTATTGTGAAGAAGTTTAAGTCCGAAGAAGGGATGAATTAAGGTACTATCACGTAAAAATATCACAATCGTTGTCGTCTCCGTCGCCCCAATTTAGTCTTGACTTATTGAAACTAATTGAAACGTACACTACGAAGTAGGGAGCGCGGGGCAACTGTGGGGGCTATGTAATTTATCGATAAGAGATTTATGTACCTACGAATTATTATGTACCCTCTCATTATCCGTTTTTATATTAAAATTTCCGTTCTACATTCTAGCTTTATTCCTAAGCTTCGATATATATAACTTATGGTCTCTTGATGAATTTATGGACTTTCCTGGGCCCTGGCACTATCTTCTTCTTTCCCCTCGTCCCAAAAATCCAAATATACTTGGCCGCGACTTATATGTACCTATACCTAATGGTCTTTAGGGGATACTTAGGCCTCAAGTATAACATCTACAGACTACAGTTCCCGTTTAATATTCCAACAGCTTCTTTACGCCGTCATATACTCCTATACCCTAGTTAGTGCCATCCATTCGCAAACAGTGAGAAGTGACAGCTTTTAGAAAACTTACTAGCTACGTCGGGGATGTTGAACTTCTCAAACATCAGCGGAGTGAATATACTCCATCCTGCTACTCGCGAAACCGGAGCTTCGAGCCTTATAAACGTGTCTGGGTCCTCTTGGATCGCCGCGGCTACTTCGGCCCCTATTCCTGCGTTTACCATGGATTCGTGCACTACCATGCATCTACCCGTCTTCCGCACGCTCTCGAAAACGCATTCCTTGTCCCAAGGATATACGGTTCGCAGGTCAATGAGTTCTATCGAAATTCTCAAGTCTTCCTCCGCCTTTTGAATGGCAGCATTGCAAGTATATAGTGGCTGTCCATATGAGATAATAGTAACGTCTTTGCCCTCCTTAAGTATCTCTGCCTTGGAGAGGGGTAAGGTATATGGGTTTGTCGGCACTTGTTCGACAGCTGCTCGGTACAGGATTTTGGGTTCCAGGAAAACGCACGGGTCGTTGCTCCTAATAGCAGAAAGCAACAATCCCTTGGCTTGTAGTGGAGATCTCGGCATTATCACTCTTAAACCAGGGATATGAGTGAAAAGGCTCTCGGGTGACTGTGAGTGGTATAGTGCTCCGTGACCGACGCCTCCGCACGGCATTCGCACCGTCAGGCCGCCCGCACTTCTCCCCGTCCCTCCTTCGCGGTATCTGTATTTCGCAGCCTCGTTTACCAATTGGTCGAATGCAGGGTAGACGTAGTCAGCGAACTGGATTTCGGCTACGGGTCGCATACCCTCGGCGGCTAACCCGATGCCGAAGCCCATGATACCTTGCTCCGTCAGAGGTGTATTGAAGACGCGAGCTCCTCCAAAATTCTCGGCAAGCTTCATCGTACAGCGGAACACACCACCGAAGGATACATCTTCGCCAAATACCAGAACGTTTTCGTCCTCAGCAAGCGCTATCGACAGGGCATCGTTTATGGCCTGGAATAAATTCATACGTTTCGCTGTACCATTTCTAGCTTCAGGCGGTAACTCTGGGTTAGAAAGTGCTGCTTGCGAGCTGTGTGCTAAGAGCGGCGTTGTTGAATAGTCAGGCGGCAAGTTGAGTCGCGCATTCGGCGGATGCGTAGAGTAGTTTCGACGTTGTGACGAGCATATAGACGGCAGTCTGCACTTATACAGCCTATTGATAGATGTAGACGCTCTCGCGAGTGGACGAAGTGAAATATAGTTCTTCATTTTTACGGCGCTACCTGCTACCTGTGCGGATTCATGTCTAGCTATGGATGGATCGAAAGTGTTCTAAGAAGCAGAAGCGGAATGTAAGAAATCGGTCAAGTCAACCGAGGCCGTCCAAGGGCCGTCATAGGCATGGAGATGGAGAAGCTGAGAACCGACGTCGCTTAGTTGCGGCATTCGGTTTGGGGAATCTCGAATTGAACTAACCCCAGAATTTATGTACGTACCTAAATGTTAGGTACCAACCTAAGCTAAACCCCGCTAGTTGTAGTGTACCGTTCAGCCCGCTGTCTTAAGCTAAGACGCGATTTGTACCCAGGTACCTAACCGTCATAGGTCCAGTCTGCTGGGTGTCGGAAAGTCTTGGCCAATCCGCAATTGGAGACAGCATCTCTCATATCGTCCAACTTTTACAAGGATGATAACTTGGAAAGAGATAGTTGCCCGGTCAACCACAGATTCACCTTTGAATTACACGAAACTCTTGGCCACGCAAGCGCTTAACTGATATATTCCAAGGAACTTGACGAAATCGATAAATTATTTGCAGATACTTTCCGCAAAGGGCCTGCATGTCCATCTACTCTATATAGATTGAGAGACTCCTTGCGTGTCTATGAGTCTATGAATGTATTCATGTCTATATTGTAATTAGTCTTAATTTTATCATTCTTTATACCCATGGCGCATGACGAGGTGGAATCGGACGGCCACCGGCGTAGGGATTCCGATGCGCATCATAAAAGACATAAGAAACGGAGGTCCAGAGAGCCCGGCTCAAAAAGGCCTACCTCGGGCCCGGAAGGGACATCACGGGGTACGGCTCAAGCTCAAAGGCTTTCTATGGGCGCACTTGCTCAATTGAATGAATATAACTCCCTCGAGCCTGCGGAAGAAGCGCCGAAAGAACGGGAGCGTAAACCGAAAAGAGACCGACCCCGACGAGAAGAGTATAAGGCCGTCGACGCCGAATACGAGTCACCTAGGAGAGCAGCGCGGCGCTCGAGGGGCGACCGTGCGCATTCCGAAGGAGAGGGGTATGAATCACCTAGAAGGGAACGACGGCGGACAAGAGAATACCGAGACGGGGAAAGACTTCGAGAAAGAGGATACGAATCTCAGGATATGGAGGATCGACGGCATCGGCGACGGCATCGCGGAATAGAAACGGAGGACGAAGAGGCTATAGTACGAGACAAGGAACGAAGACATCGCAAAAAGGACCGAAGAGTAGTCAGCGGAGCTATCGTAGAGGAGGGGAGGGCGACCTCAAGGATGAGGGGCGGCGCCGCGAGTAAACATAGCAGTTATGATAGCTACGACAGTATCGCAAAGGAGAAAGCGGGCACGCAATGGAACATACCAGGGACTGTCAGAAAGAAGAAACGATGTAGGTTTAAAAGGCCTAGTGCCAAGGCACGTTATTATTAACATTCTCAAATAGGGATCATAGCAGGCGTCGCGCTTGTGATACTCATCATTATCATAGTGGTAGCCGTCGTCGTAAGCAAGAAGAACCAGGCCAACGACTCCGGTTCGCATAACTCCAGCCTCGACGATATCTCGCAAGATAGCGTCCCCCTGGCTGCGAGGGGAACTTATCTGGACCCTTTTACGTGGTACGAGACGACGGACTTCAACGTAACTTATACGAACGAGACGGTAGGTGACCTGCCTGTTATGGGGCTTTTCATGGATTGGGACGACTCCAAGTCTGCCAACGACAAGGTCCCGGCCATCGAAAAGTCGTGGGGCGACTACACGGAGACACCGGCACGCGGTGTTAATCTGGGCGGCTGGCTCTCGCTCGAACCTTTCATTACGCCCTCGCTATTTAACTACGACAGCAGATTGGGCATCATCGACGAGTGGACTCTATGCAAGCATCTCGGTGCCAAAACAGCAGCTTCGACTCTTGAAAAGCACTACGCCACATTCGTGACGGAGCAAACTTTCCAGGAAATACAGGCGGCAGGGCTAGATCACGTCCGAATTCCCTACAGCTACTGGGCCGTGCAGACGTACGACGACGACCCGTATGTCTTTCGCACCTCGTGGCGTTATCTCCTGCGCGCCATCGAGTGGGCGCGTAAGTACGGCTTACGAGTGAACTTGGACCTTCACGCATTACCGGGAAGTCAGAACGGCTGGAATCACAGTGGAAGACAAGGCACAGTCAATTGGCTCAACGGCACCGACGGCAGCCTCAATTCGCAGCGATCGCTCGACGTACACGATCGTCTAACCAAGTTCTTCGCGCAGGACCGCTACAAGAACATCATCACGTTTTACGGCCTAGCAAACGAGCCGCGCATGGTGTCCCTTTCTGCAGACGCCGTTATATCCTGGACGACAGAGGCGTTCAACCTCGCGCGCAAGAACGGCATAACAGCCAACGTCGTGTTCGGAGATGGCTTCATGGGGCTCGGCAACTGGCAGGGCAAACTAACGGGTATGGACGGGCTAATACTTGACGTGCATCAGTATGTCATTTTCAACAACGACCAGATCGTCTACACGCATCAGAAGAAGGTGCAGTACGCCTGCGACGGGTGGACGCAGCAGACGCAGCAGAGCATGGACACATCCACCGGCTTCGGCCCCACCATGTTTGCCGAGTGGTCGCAGGCCGACACTGACTGCGCCAAGTACCTAACCAACGTGGGCTGGGGCAACCGGTGGACGGGCACGTACGACTCGGGCAACTCGTCAACCGAGGCCCTAACGCCGAAGTGCCCAACTCAGAACAGCTCGTGCACGTGCGACGATGCCAACGCCGACCCGGGCTCCTACTCGGCTTCGTACAAGAAGTTCCTCAAGATGTTCGCCGAGGCCCAGATGACCAGCTTCGAGAAGGGCTACGGCTGGTGGTACTGGACTTGGGATACTGAGGACGCGCCTCAGTGGAGCTACAAGAAGGGCCTCGCTGCCGGTATCCTGCCCGACTTGGCCTATGATAAAGACTTCAACTGCGATGCAGACGTGCCCGACTTCTCGGATCTAAGTGAGACTTTTTGATTGCCGATCGCGGTCGAATTTAGGTTATGTTATTTGCTCTGCTCGGGTTTTGCTTTTTATGACTGTTTGCTTCGCGTGGGGGTTGGCGTCTGGGGAGGCTGGACCGGTGTGTTTTATGGCTCGGCATCTCAACCGTCTGTCTGCCTGCCTAATCTCCATGCATCTCTATCCATTTTTTTATTTTTATTTTTATTTTTCTGTGGAATGGCAAATTAAGCTAAGGCCGAGTAATCTATAAACAAAACGGGCTTACCAATCACAACAGCTTACCAATGCCTCCTAGCGATGCAGAGGAGATCCCAAGCACGGTGCGTAATAAGATCAAAATCAAAAAGTATCTAACCTAGGGTAAATAAGCAAGTAAGCAGCTAAATTCAGCTATGATATCAGGCCGGGTTTCACAAACGGGTCAAAGGGAGAGAGAGAGTGGCGTACAGAAGCCGAGAAGGAAGGATTAGCCGCGGGTATCCCGCATCCGGTGGCGTCTCCTTTCGGCTCCTGGAGAAACCGGAGCGCAAACATTATCTCGCGCGCATAAGATTAGTTTGTAACTATGAGCGTTTTGCATATACCCATTGGCAGGCGGGCTGACATTATTGACATATATATTGGATATTGTACATGAAGTATGGTAGAGGAAAGGGGGGGGATAGGGGGGATGGGGGTTATGAGATGGGCGAAATGTGGTCTAGGTCTATGAGATGAGCTGTGTATATACTCTACGGAGAAATTCGATGATTGCAAAAGGTAATAATGAATAATGACGAATTAGTACACGCACTGTTTTCGGCCGATATGTATTGGCATCTAGCATACGGTGCGGCTCTCCTTTCCGAATTATTGTATGATGTATCAGGCGTTATGTATTGCGGGATCCGCCTTGCATAGCATGGGAGGCGTATGTGTATGTGTATGTGTATGTGTATGTGTATGTGCGTGTGTGTGCCAGAAGGGTAGGATTATGAGGCTCTGCGGTCGAAAAGTAACTGTCAAACAAAAAGATAAGGTAGCATGCATGGAGATGATCGCGGTGTGGCTACCGGGAGCGTTTGAATCCGGCCTCTAGGATGGCAAACCGTTATACACCGAGGCCGACGATGTAGGGTGGGGGCTACCGAAAAGGAGGCTGATGGAACGCACGTTAAAACCTCTGGCTTTGCTTGCCGCGTTTTGCGCAAGGTTCCCTCTCGCCTCCCCCCAAGCCACAGAGTTGCATTGCGGCTGATCCTACATTGATTGTACTTTTGACTTTTTGCTGACAGGTTCGCCGGTTCGCCGGTTGACACAAAATCTAGATCGACCAAGGCGAGTGCAGAGTGCAGCAGATCAGGAGAGAACCGAGAAGTGGCTTGATTTGCCCGCCTCTGATATCGGTGTTTGAATGGATCGTACCAATTGACCACGAACAAGCCCGAATACAGACTTATGAGGCTAGAAGCCGGGAATTGCATTGCATTGCCGCGTGTACTGAATAAGCGACTCGTACGATAGGTACTCAAGAGGTGGAAATAAAGTGCGAAGTAAGCGTGATTAGGCAGGTTTAGCCAGCTAGCTGAATGCTGAATGTCCTGTAAACGACCACTCATCGTCATATTCATCGTCATATTTATCACAGCTTCATCCAGCTTCTTAGAATAGATGCCTTAGCTGAATGCGACAAAGGGCCGACCCGTGAGTTATCATGTTCTAGACTTAACCTAACATCTAAATGTGACTGTGATAGCCTCGTGATATGGAAAAGATAGTAAGAGCGAACATCAATGACCTAGTTAGTTAGTAGACTGTCCATTCTTTTCCATTTGTTACTGTCTGACAAAACCAAAGGATTCCTGCCGTCCTATAGCCGTTTGAATGTGCCAAGTTTACGGCTGGTTGCGGTTCGCAAGTTACTTCCATACTTAGACAAGCTTGTTGTGAAGTCCAGGAACGTAGGTATGTAGCGAAGGGGGAGCAGACATAGCTGGATCTCGGGAGAAACTAGAAACCGCCCCGTTCAAAACCTCAGTTCGTGCTTCTAACCGCGCTAGGGTTTCACTTTCGATGTGTAAATACGACCTGCTCCGGCGGTTAGGTATTTCTAAGCTTGATCTGTATCATCTATGATTACGAGTCAGTGGTCGAGAGAAAACGACATGTATAGCTGGGATGCAAAAGCAGGACCTGCACTAGTGCCTCCTGCCTCCTGCACCTGCGGCCGTAAAGATGATTCCACAGCTGAATCCCAGTACGAGTGCCGAGAGACACGTCGATTTATGCTGTAAATGCATCATTTCATGGCCGTCGCGGTCGGAAGTAGCACCTAGCCTTCCGAATACGCCAATTCCCCCAACTCCTCGTGGCGATTCAACATTCTTCTTATCTCTTGTTGCTCTAGACTTGGATGCTATCGAGCGCCACTTCATATCGAATGATGTCAAAAATTCTTGCAAGGTAGGTCATTGGCTCCTCTCGTCTGCGATATGCAGCGCCACATAATGATGTTTTGACCCGAGCGTACGAGCTGTAGGACATACTTCTCATCTATTCTTCCCAGTCCGTCGGGCCCAACTACGCGTGAGCTTATTGGTGGCTTTGTAGACGTGCTTGCTGTTTCGACCACTTGGCGATAGATGTATTGTACTGGATAACTGTTAGAGGCCTTAGCGGCGGCCTTGTAACCTCGTATCAAGTTTTCAATATATGCCCACAACCGACGTACGAGGAGGGCTAATGAGCGTGTCTTCCACGCAAGATATGGCACCTTACCAGATTGACGAATTGCTTGCTTGTAGCCGCTCCCATACCTGCAGGTGGAAAATATACACACCTATCTCCTAACTTAGGCCCTTGGTATCACCTAGCTGGGTCTCGGGAATGTTAAGTATCTGTATCGATAACTATAATCGCAGGGTTAACGAGAATGAATTTGTATAAGCACATCGAATAGACTAACTTGGAATAGTTTAGAGGTGACCTAGCATCGTCTGTCCGGAAGTCCGACTACCTTCTATTATGACTAGATAGTTTCCCCTTTTAGGGGGTTCTCGTCCGTTACGATGGAACGTTATCCAGCACGTTGCTCATACCAAAAAATTTGCACGGTCATGTTTGACCCCAGAGACTGGTTATTGACACTGTCTATAGACTGCCAAGAATACGTAGGGTCCAAGCCTCGCAGCCTAACGTAACTCATGGTGTTGAAGACTAGGTACTAGTGCGAGTCCGTGATGAAAACTTAGATGATACTGTCGTGATACAAAGACAGGGTACGTAGTCGCAAGTCTCCCTCGAAATATTTTTGTAATTGCTTTGTCAGATTCCTGCGGATCATCGTGATCTTGCATGTCCGAAGCAGCTTTTCCAAGTTAAAGTTCTGTGTGACTTGTTGGGATGAACTGTATAACACCTCATTATAGGTAACGCAATTCTCATGTGCAGCATGCTTCGAACCGTGACATCATGTGTGATACCACGACGAGTGACTGCAATATCAAGACGCAATGAACGCCCACGTCTTCATGAGTTGTTCATGTCTAGGACCGTTGATATACTGCCTCGAGCCGGGCTGCATTTGGAAGAGCGCTTCCCAGGTTACACGAAGCTTGTAGCCGTTCAGCTGCTTTTCTAAGGAGTCGTTATTCTTGATGAGCTTTCTAGTCTGAGCATTATTTCTAGCCACTAGCCACTTGCCACAATTTGTTGAGAGGCGCAATAGCCACTCAGGTAGTAATCTGCCCCTACATTGTCTCTTCCATGGCTTCCTGTCTTCCCCAGGTCGTGTAGCCTAGATTATATTGCAACGCGCGAAGGTCGTATGCAGGTGAAACACGTGACTTTAATTTATAACTGGTCGGCCTGTAAACACAGCTCTTGGGCTACTCAAATGCCGTGCTTTTGGGGTTCAAGTATAACTGATCGGTGCTATTGCATGATCCTCCAAAGGATTGACATGCTGTGTCGCCCCAGTCCATCTGGCCAAGAGCAGGGCTGATATGCCCTATGATATCCTACAATGGAAGCAGTGCCGGCGTTAAAAAAAGATGCGATTATACTAGTGGAAGGACCGCATCTACTATCCACGATGGGTATAAGGGGAATAACAAGCCTTCAATGAGGTTGCATCCCGCAATAATAATGGAGCGCTATCCATGCAATGCACGACATTGCAGCAGCGGACGGTTGGCGCCGTGGACTATATAGAGTTGGGTAAGCGATCTGGGATAGACAAGACTATATCGAAGCTGTAAAGCTGTATAGGTGTATAGGGTTTCCGTATATGTGGGCGACCTATCTTGGCTATGTTGAATGTTATTATATCGTGATAATGTCGGGTAAAGCAATATTAATACGTATTGCATGCAACCGCTTATTGAAATAGTCGCGAAAGGACGATCTAGAAGTCGGATGCGGACTTCCCTTGGTCACACTGATGGTGATCACTACATATTGCCCCTTGGGTGGTGGTATAACGAACGATGAAGGTCTCTTGCAGTGAAGATCTTCAGGTACCCCGGAGAATTCGGGAAGGTTGGCGATAGGATGAGGACGACCCAGCGGACGGCAGAACGTCTAGATCAGCATGGCGACCTTCCTATTTCACTGTGATTTAGGGGCGGCGGACGTAGCAACAACGTTGGAGCATCTGCAAAGAATGAGGGAATCTCTGTATGTATTAATTTATCCATCGATTCCACGTCCCAAGTGACGCGTCCAAGAGAAAGCTTCGACTGGTCCCGTTAGAATCTGATTGGTCCCCATCAAATTTGGACTGCATGTGCATATGGATTGACCCATGATAAACATGGCTAGGGGCAATTACTCGGCATTGCATCTTGCGTCTTCCTTCCCAGTCAGGCTCGGCACACCGGAGAAGTAGGCCATGATTCGACGAAGAGTCGCTCGCTTGCGTTGGTTATATTCAGCCATCGCTATGCATGTAAGGAGCGCCATTCTTTTTGACGATAGGGGGCCAATTTGGAGCTGTTATCGTTGTTATTGGATATACGTACGTACCGATGGTCCATCCATAGTGGCCCCGTGTAGATTTATATCAGAGATAGTATACGTGTCTATACGAAGAGATAGAAGACATGACGCCGGCATGCTCACCTGCTAGAACTGGAAGAGATGAGCGCATGGGAGTATCGTCCATGATGAAACATGAAATAGCGGGAATGGAGAAAGGGGTAGAGGGGTTGGATGACTCGCAACTTGTGCTGGACAATAGAGAATGGAGAATGTAGAACGATGGAAGTATGTAATATGAGATACTTCGTATATGTACCTAACGTACCCCTGAGTTACATAACCTAAGACAGGTATACAGGCAAGTGCGGATGAGTATCTAACACTTGTCTATCTCTGTTTAAGAGGCAATAATTACCTAGGTAGTTACCTACCTTGTACATAACATACCTGCTGTAAGGAAAGAACGAACATAGCGATGATGGTTACAGCAACATACACTACCTAACCTAAGGTATACGGCGTACTATACCACATGTGTACCTATGTACCTCCCTAAGTGCCCCCCTACATGTATCCCTTTAGGTGTCCAATCTTAGATGCATCAAATACATGCATGTATGTATAAGGTGCGATAACAATTCTTTCACACTTCGCTTAATACATAGTTACATAGAAACATGTAAATTGGTAAGGTGGTATGCTTAGATAGAGCCCAAGACACCATGATCTGCCAAGATACTCTTTGGCTTGTCTGGGGAAGTGCTGCATCAACGGTAAAGAGCCCTGTCGGGACTCAATCAGGCTTGGGGGTGGGTGAGAGGACACCTGAAAATGATGTCGTGCAAGGTTCTCACGTTTTTTATAGTTAGTCATCCAAGTTTGTAGCGTGGTTCGAATCGTATCCTTGGCAGAATTCTTGGCGTTGGTTGGTCCGTGCCTGACTGGTCCATTAGACCTGGTGGGGCTGTCTACTGCATTAGGACATGCAGTTTTAGGTCTAGCTTCGCTTGGCTTTTTCGCCTTTTTGTTCCTTTTTGATAAATGCTCTTCTTGTTCTCTTATGGGACTCTTATGGGAAAATCCACTTATCATACCGGCAGACTGGCTTTTTCTCCATTTACAATCTGCAATTAACTCGGCTTACAAGCGATAAAAGGAAAGATAAAGGATTAAAAAAGGGTGTGCCCGAAGAGGGGAAAAAGTAAATTCAATAACAAATAACAAAATCGACAAGATGAAAATGAATTTGAATTAAAGTTCAGATGATTTTATGAACCCCGCAATTTGGTTGAAGGACCAAAGGGAACTACAATTTGAGAATGCGGAAAAGCAGTAGCCAATGAGGTGCCCCTCTTTCCTCTTTTTCGGCTTACCACTCTACCGACCGATACCGATATCGTCAATTCTTTTTATTATTATCAATTTTTTTTTTCCAGGTTTGCTGGCTCACCAAACTTCGAGGCCCGTGTCATTGGGTCATTGGTGTCGACATCGACTTCTTACTAACCTCACTCTTCCATCTTCTTTAACTTTTGCGCCACCGCCGTTTGATGCCAATTGATTGGCGCTACAACTCTTTGAATATGAAAAATCCCGACTACTGACATCTCTTCGTCAATATTGTATCATTACAATATTACGCTTCGGCGTATTTAATTCTCGCTCTGCTTTCGCTTGATTTAGTCGCTTAGGTAGAGCTCTCCGTCCTGTTCACTCAGTTTACCCAGTTCGTCGTCGATCATCGAGTCGCTGGATGCATCCGTACCAAATCTCCTGTGCAGCTCTCGCCATACTCGACCATCCTCGCAAAGCCGCGCAGCAATAACGCATACGCAATAGCCTACATATCTTCTTACCTGCGTATGGTACATTAGTTACATAGGTCGCCGATCCAAAGTAAATACATACATCCATATACATACGCACATATACATACACACACACATACATACACACATACACACATACACATACATACCTACTTCAAGCTACCTCTTCCATATCTCCCACCCTCCTCCCTACCCCCCCTTCAGGTGTTCTATTCATATCCGAATCGCCGACGACAAAACAAAACTCTGTGCGCCCCAGTACCAAATGCGAACAAGCTCAGAAGTTGCGGCTAGCTGCATCACCGTCGACCATCCCGCATACCACCCCAGCCAGACGCCTCAGTGCCTTATCCGTCGCCGCGTGACTCCATGAGCAAAGACCTGTCCCCCCGCGCAGCCCGGCCCGTTATAATTCTTGTTCAAACGAAATAACATCCCCCCCCCGCGATCTGTACGAACAGAGCGGATAGACCCGCTCGACGGGGCCCCCAGCAAGCCTTGTCCCCGTTGCACAAGGAACGCCTCTTTGTAACGGGGAACGGGGAACTAGCCCATTGGCGTCCGCCTTGCTTGACTACGCTGAATACGAGCGGCCTGTCGTTGCGCCGTGCTTGTGCAAGCTTTCTTGGGGGGGTACTGGCCCCTAGACACGGCTGTCGCACCGCGGCAGCGTACAGCGCCATAATACCTAAGCTAGCGTCTCACGCAGTATCTTTAGCTTGTCATTACCTCCAGCTTCGATATACATCTTCTCGGGCGACTTCATTGGCTTGCATACGCCACCAAAGTCGATTGCTACTGGACCACGATCCAAGCCGAGGGTCTGTGCTGAAGTTGAAGCTAAGAGGCGGTGGGAAGATTGTACTAGTGCTTGAAATAGGGAAATATTGAAATTCTGAGAGAGCCCCCCCGGCTCTGACTGTGATACTCCTGCGGGGATTCGCAAAATTCAGCTATTTGCTGTTTTGGATCAGTGTGGTTGTGCCAGACTTATCCCGGGACTTGCATTGCCATACCATTCATCCGGCGTGGAAAGCTGAAAAGGAGCTATTCTATATAACTAAGACAGGATGCCGGAAGACGTTGAGGCAAATGGGGCAGAGGTCTCAGATGCCTTGTCCGATAATGAGAACGAGTACGACGACATGGAACAGCCTATCAAGGACGAAGATGCTAAGATGACTGACCAAACCACGTCGCCCGAGCCTGGCGGCGCCGACCATTCAGGAGAGGTCAAGAAGAAGTACGATCCTAAAGACCCCCACCGCCCAAGGAGAAAGAAGGCGAGACGTGCGTGTTATGCTTGCCAGAGAGCGCATCTTACATGCGGTAAGTCTCAGCCCTATGCCTATGTGCCCAGGCCTGCATCGTAGTCCAACTGTCTCAACGACCCCACAATTGAGCTACAGCCAATGTGTCTCAGCGTGAATCGAGTCGAGACGCTATGAAGCTAGACTACTGAGTAGATTTACTAATACTTCAGTAGGAGATGAGCGTCCATGCCAAAGATGCATTAAGCGCGGTCTTGCGGACGCCTGCCAAGACGGAGTCCGGAAGAAAGCCAAATATCTTCACGATGCTCCTCCAGAAGCTTTAAGACCGGTTCTGGGACCTACTTACAACCCAGCGGTCCATACGAAGCCAACAAATGGGAGGCACCTATCTAACGGGAATTCCGAAACCTCGCCGTATTATTCGGAAGCTTCCAATTCGTCTACCTACTCCATATTCAATGGCAATGCTCAGGGACAGCTATCATCCCTTTCCGACAATATGTCTTTTGCTGGCCAGCATTCTCCGGTGACGCCCGGGTTTCAACCGCCGAACACGTCGAGAGCAGCGCAGATGGGCTCTATGCAAGTTCCTCAAGTATCTAGCGAGATGGGCCATAATTTCTCAACCGCCTTATTTGACCCTAGCAATCCTGCAATATTCAATTTCGACCTCGAAGGCCTGAATTTTGGGAACCATTACGGTGCGCTTGAATTTGGGATGCTTGGCCATATGTCTTCTGGAGCCGCGGAGACTCCTCCTAGAGACGCTATAGCTCATCCTCCCGGGACGGATGTTAACTACGGATCTACACCGGTTTATCGAAATGGAGTCAATCAATATAGTCATAGTCATATGTATGAGAATGGCATGAATGATGGCTTCATGAACGTTGATCCAAGCAACGGCGGCACATATCCGGGTAATCTGCAGCATGGCTTGCCTCATGCGTACGCCGTGGCGGCTGCCGGACCGACGCCAAATAGTCTAGCAAGTCCAAGCACAGACAATACATCAAGCCCGCAACCCACAGGCTATGGATTCGATAAGTCGCCAACTGCGAGCACCTATACACCTGCCAGCTCTCAACCAATCGCTCAGCCTACACGACCAAAACCAAAGTCCTCTAGTTCCACGGGTCGGTTTGGGCCTCAGTCTATTTTAGGCAAACGACAACGCGATCCATCTGCGATCTACGATACCGTCACCGAGCCCTATCCATATCTTACTGGGTTTCATAACTTAATCGCATTTGTCCAGCGAAGGTTTTCCGCTAACAAGACCCTACGCATCGCAAAATCTCTTGCCAGTATCCGACCTTCGTTTATTGCATGCACAAGAAATCTTAATCGGCAAGATCTTATTTTCATGGAAAAATGCCTACAGCGGACTTTATTCGAATACGAAGACTTCATGGGCCATTGCTCTGCGCCAACTATTGTCTGCCGAAGAACTGGAGAAGTGGCGGCTGTAAACAAAGAATTCATTGCTCTGACCGGATGGACCAAGAACGTACTGCTAGGAAAAGAACCCAACATGAATGTCAATAACGGTCGGTCGGGATCTGAGTTGAGTAGCCTCGGTAGCACAGGCAAGCCCGAGTACGCTACGCCGCGGCTAAGAACAGCCCAACCGGACTTGGGCAAGGCCTCGGAAGGCAAGATACAACCGGCCTTCATTGCAGAGTTCATGGACGACGATAGTGTGGTTCAATTCTACGAAGATTTCGCCCAGTTGGCCTTTGGCGATAGTCGCGGTCATGTCACGAGAAAATGCCGACTCCTCAAATACCGAACGAAGGAAATGAGCGAGTCTTTAAGCAGCGACGAATCCCCTCACAAGGACCGACGCAACAGTAGCATCCTAAGTAATAGGGTTACGCGGATCGACGGAGAACACGGTATATCCAAACTCGAAAAGGATGGCAAGATCGACTGCACATTCTGCTGGACCATCAAGCGCGATGTTTTTGATATACCAATGTTGATTGTCATGAATGTAAGTTGACTCATTATTGTGTTCTCTCGGATTGATAGACTTGCTAACACCCTTGTAGTTCTTACCGTGTTACTACCGCAATCAGGACCAATTGGCCGTATAAGGATATGCCAGTTGGAGCACACGTATAGAGGCAGGCATGTTTCTTGGTTTGTTCGTTTCTAGTTCACGGGACTACTATATATAGGTAGCATGGGTGGCGTTTTGGATGGAGCTCGTATTTAGGAGCTCTTCTCCCTTTGAAGGGAGCTGGTCATAATGCATGTTATCTCGGGGGCTCACGATAGGGTAGACACGGCATAGAGCATGGGTTTCAAAATCAGTTTTACGGCTGATCCACCATGAATTTCATTGATTTATTCTAAGATACCAGAAATTCAACACATCTTATTCTATGCACTGAACGCTCACTTAATAAACTACTCGACCAATACCTGGTCTTGTATAGAAGAACCGCATCTAGCACGTCTCACGTGTATCCAAGAATCTCCGGGAATTTCCAATAAGAATGCCTCGGGACGGGACAATTCGGGTAACCCGCCCCCCTCCCCTATCCGCCCCCTTACCCCCCCTTTACCCCTCCTGATCGCATTACCCATGTCGCATGCTTATGATATATTGCCTATGTAGGTAAGTAAGAAAATAGGATATATCGTATATACGTATGTAGGTTGATAGAGAAGTATCCCAACAACACGGTACATAGGTAGGTAGTCTATCCCTATGACTCCCTAACGAGCCAAGAGCCGTCAAACTCGCCCGTGACGCCGTCCGCGGTGCCTTGGCGCGGGGTCCAGGCGGGGCGCGCGAGGCTCTGGCGCGCTACCTCGCAGTCTATGTTTATGTCGGTGATAAGCGCCTCGAGGGAGGCGTAGTCGCGCTCCTCGCGCACGAAGCCGAGGATCAGCAGGCGCATGGGCGCGTCGTAGAAGTCGGCGCCGAATTCGCGCAGCACGTGCACTTCGGCGGAGCGCACGGAGTTCTTGTAGAAGGGGTTGTAGCCGATGGACATTACCATGGGATAGATCTGCCAGCGCTTTTGTTGCGATGCCTCTTTGGTCGCGAGAGATGAGGAGGCGGATGATGAGAATGAGGGGAAGGTCTCGGAGGATGTGCTGACGGATGTTATGGTCGTGTGAGGAGGCGCGTTGGTGGCGGCGCGGGGGTTAGAGCGATGGCGGGGTTCTTGGGGTTGGCTGTCGGTGGTGTCTTGTCGGTCGGGATGAGATGACGGTAGAGCCAGTGCGGCGTAGCCGAAGTACACTCCTGACTTTGCGCTGGCGATCCAGGGCGTGGCGACCGAGTCGACGGGGAGGTTGGCTGTTGGGATGCCGAGCTCTTTGGACCCGCGACCGAAGCCGGATATGACGGTGCCTTCCATGCGCAACGGGTACGGAGGCTCCGGGCCCGAATCTGCGTATAGGACCCGCGGACGATCCTCGGCTGCCATGACGTCGGTCTCTTAGGTGGGTTTAAGGGATCTTTGGTTGTATTATGAATAATCGGATGATGTTGCGCTGGCTGGCTAGCGTCTGTAGGAAGTAGTTGTCTTGGATGCGAGACAAGGATATTCAAGATTGACGGCGGGGTTTGTCTTTGTATAACTATTAAAAAAATAAAAACCCCTCCCGATGTGTCCGTACCTATCTATCTATCGTATAGTAGCGTTGTTCTTATATTCTAATTCTAGTTGACAATCATAACTCGGATCTATATAATAATATGCAGAAGGGATATTGAGTATGAAGCTTCCTCGGAGCGTGATGGCTCCTTATGGATGTCGGTAGAATTAAACGCATAGCGGGGGATTGACATGTAGTACATAGTATGTACATAAACAGGGCTGACAGGTACGGATTAGATAAGCTTTGCATTGCATTAACTATCGATAACCATATTTCCCACTACATGTACGCTGCTACGACAACGGGAACTTAGTGTTGAATTTATTACCTCTTTGAATACGAGTCTTGGCATTGATTGGTCGGCTATAAAATAAAGTTTAATCGGTGTTAAAAAAGAGGTATAAAATCATTTTACGTGGTCGGATTGACGAGTGTTAGATGGGAACTTTAATCATTTAACGGACACCCATTAAGCGCTATGACAGTTGTCACAGAGCCAGCCTTAGTAACTCAGCTCCTCGTATTCGCTGAGCTACTATATAAGACGATAAGACGATTTCTAAACTATACCTCAGGTAGCAGAGCTCATCTCAACTTCTCGAGGACGGTAGTGGTAAGCCCTACAAGCCTATGCTTATCCCTGCTCACACACATTTAAAGGTAATCTTTATGATATCCTTTATTGCAATAGTTAATTTAAGTGTATAAAGAAATGGTCTCTTACTGAGCGTAGACAGAATTCAGTATGAATAATTACTTAAGTAAGCTAGCTAGGTAGGTACCTATATTACAAAAGATTGTTACTCGGTAGATATGACGTTGTAATCCTACACAACGGCAACATTCATGAAAGGCCGAGTCAAAATAAATAATTATATAGAATCCCCACGGCGCTTATGGATATTTTGATGTAAATCAAAGTCTAATATCATGACAAAAAAAAAAGGAATAAAAAAGCTTGAAATTAAACTTAAAGCTTTACCATGATGGGAAATGTTGTGTGAAGCTTGTTACACCATTATTGCTATGACTATACTAATCTTACTATGAACTGGCGCAGAGTCAAAAGTCTATGTTAGGTAGATTATGACACACGGGCATAATGCCACCATCCGGATTTGACCTACAAACCGCCAGCGTTTTAACATAATGTATTACGTTTCTACTAAGAGGAAAGAAGATTCGAATTTCGTTTCTAACTTTTGCTCGCCCCGACCAAGCGTTGCCACATTCCGCAAGAGGGTTATAAAACAAGCGCTCTCTTAGATCAACCGCTTCTACTTTCATCTTCTTTCCACATTATCCTACCTCATAGCTTTTGCAAGTCTCTGGCTTCTACTCCTTAGCTGCAAATGCTTCAATATTTTCACCAATATCCTTTGATAAAGCATCATTGATCATCATCAACTTCTTCCCCAGCCTCTTAATAAGCCCCTTCATTTCAAACTCACGCTATATACTATAACGACAATGCCTACAACAAGCGTACGTGATCCGGACGGGTTCATTCCAGTGTCGAATACCCGTCGGCCACGTAACCAAACCACACTCAGCCAACAAAATAGCGACAATTGGCAAGATGGTGATATTGCATTCCTCAAGTCACATTACGAGTTTTCTAAGGAGGTAAATCACGGCTTAATCAACACCAATTATTTACCTCAAAAAGCGACAAACCATCCAGTAATAAGTAAGCACCCTCCCTAATCCTCTAAACTCGCTGACCCAAGTCCTATTACTAATTTTTCTAGTCCTGGAGCATTCCGAGGATTCAAAGTACTACCTGGTTACTACTATCTCGGCATATCACTCTGGACCTGAAAACAACTACCTTCCGCCATGGAGACAGCAGCGCCACCGCAACAAAGACCGCTATGATTTCCGTGCATTTAAGGGCTCAGTCACGCCTGATCATCGACGGGAATTTCTTCGACTCGAGGGGGGATGTCTTCTACCAAAGCCGAAAACATCATGGGTTTATACTCGCGGTGCATTTGTGGTTCCATCGTCGACACTTAAGGAGTTCGACAAGTTCGACAAGTCCCAAGGAGCACCGCGAATGACCAAAAAGAGCCTCAACGACCTTCTTGAGCATATAAAGGAGAACTGTAATACCGAGGCCCTCTGGACTGATCCAAGGATTGCTAAACTCCGTCGATCTGAGACGAGCAACCTCTCGATAAATTCTAAGCCGGGAGTTCGAACAACATCCACACCATCAACGATCAACCCAACCCGTATATCATCGAACCCGAGTCCAAAAACTGGTCCCAAATTAAGTCCCGGAGTGCCACTGTGGAGCGTCATTGCAAGCAAATCTGTACCTGTAATCTGAGACCACCCTCATCATATCTTTCTTAGCTAACTTCCAGCGATATCAGACAACCTTCCATATTTCCTGGCAGACACAAGCTAATTATACACACAACAAGATTCACGACAATTTCAATACTACCCAGGAGAATAAGCCACGATATAAAAAGATATTAAGTTTAAAAACGTGGCGCGAGGTGGAACCAAACAACATGGAAACAACTTCGTTGATCCGCGAGGAACTCTGATTTACCTACTACGCCACTGCCTATGCACCGCCAAACTGGGTAGTTTAGAGTAAACTCCCGAGTCCGCTGTTACGTCTTTCTAGCACGAATTGACTTTACAGCTTCGGGGCCCTCGGAATGCGATACTAGAGACCACTGCGCCACACAACCAACCCGCGGGATTTTTGGATCTTAGCACGGAGAGGATCTTGACCGAGATCTACTAGTTCTTAGCCCAGGCTCCCTCCTTACCCCTTGGAACCTAGCAGAAACAGCAACTCCGATGATGATGATGATGATGATGATGATGACGTTTACGTCTATTGGTCTGCTCTATGCTACCTAAGTAGATACAGCGGCGCATCTTTGGCGCTTTAGACGTCTAGAGTACTCCCCAGGGGGGAACAGAGCTAGAGTTTCGCCTGACATGAGAGATCCTCCACTTCCTGCCTATAGCATCTCCAGCCCCTACCTGCCTACAGCATTACTCTACCTGGTTAGCGCTGGCGCCAGAGAGCCGACTTTGATCAAGGGGAAAACCGTCGAGCACGCTTTCTTATAACGGAAATAGAATCACCCTTAACGCCTAGCGTGCTCAAGGAGTTTCGCCACCAGAACCACCATATTTATCCAAACGGATGATAAACATTTACCGGACTATCGAAGACGGCTTACCTAGCGACGGAAAAGAATTGATTACCCATCGACGTTGGGAGATTCACCATAAATATGTACACTGGCACAGTTTGTCGGCAACAATGGCTGGCTGTCTTAGTCGGCCTACATCACATGAAGAATCGAACCCAAATCCACTTATAATCCGACAACATCTCAGCATCAGCATCGCATTCCGAGGGTACGAGAAGAACATAAACTCTAATTCAACTACTACGCCACTGCCTATGCACCGCTAAACTGGGTAGTTCGGAATAAACTCCCGAGTCTGCTGTTACGTCCCTTTAGCACGCATTGGCTTTACAGCTTCGGGGCCCTCGGAATGCGATATTAGAGACCACTGTGCCGCGCGACCGACCAACCGACCAATCAATCAACCACCAACGCCCGTACCCGTGGGATTTTTGGATTTTAGTACGGAGAGGATCTTGACCGAGATCTACCCTGGAACCTAGCAGGAACAGCAACTCCGACACGGCGACACCACAGCTATATACACAACATAGCTTGGCGTTAGAAATACTTACGATGGGGAGGAAATAAGATATGCGGAAAGAAAGAATTGGGCTGCTTGGATAAGCTAATGTTCATGTTGGATAATGAAATGTTTTTCTTGTATTGGAGAATATTTTACGGGTTTTGTCCTGAAGGCAGGTTTCCCCGTATTCGGCATAAGTTGCCGGCGAATGCGTATTCGAATAGGGACGGCGTCTGGCTGAGATTATCATGGAGTTGGGAAATGTACTGGCGAATACTAGAGTGCAGTCTAAATTATAGTATTAGAAGTTCTAGGTATAGCCTAGCCTATCCGGATCATTTAATACTAGATCATGATTCATGTATAACAGGTAGTTGACTAATATGAAAACTGTTGTGACTTCTATCTTCATAATTCAGGGTTCTCTGCTCCCGCTTAGTAGTAGTGTTATACAACCGAGGAGGTCAAGTTGTTGATGGTTACTTTGTTATTCTTCCCACGTAGCATCGCTTAATGCTTCATTGGTGCGATCGTACACATTTCCCTCTTGGGTTGATGAGGTAAGATTTAAGGAGATGTTGGTAAGTTGTTGGTAAGTGCTCCTCCACGGGTTGGTTCAGCAACTTCAGCCAATGAGATTCAACAAAGCTTTGACCGTGGTTTATTTACACCTTCGGAACCAGAAATCATGACACAGACAGAGTAGAGAGAAATCGGTAGAGATTTTTGAGTAAAATGGATATCGAAACTATCTAGGTACCTAGGAAGTTATAAAATACATAACATTATGTATTAGTGGTCCAGGTCGGATTGGGTGGTTAATGGGCCCGTATCCTTTAATCGAATCCTACCTTCAACTAGGGTCATGGTATGAATTGAGATAAACTTATAAGTCATGATATGACTTATACTCATCGATTCGATTATACTTGTGGACATTTATACCTTCCAATTACCCGGTTACCCTTTATTATGCAAGTTATCTTAATTCATCGCATGTCAGATGTCTAAGCGATGTGGGGATCACAAGTTGTCAATATGCGGGTAGGAACGCGGATCCAAACAATCGTTGCTGACGTTGTAACGCATTTACATCATTTTGGTATTCGAACCAATGACACTCGTCGTTGGTGTGGCGGAGTGAAGTGAAAGTCCACGCTCCGGCTCCCGTTGTGATTCCCGAGCCCGAGCCCGTATTGACATGATTATGGAACCCGTTTAGGCTCCGGTTGGAGGGTATATAAAGGCCATGCTGCTTACGCACTTCTCTACAGTTATGACTTATGTTCTCAGAGCTCATTGCCAACTACTCAGCTCGTTCTGAACACGACACCGGACGACATGCGCTTCGCCCGCCTCATCGCGTCGGCGGCTTTGGCTGCCGCCGCGAACATCGTCGACTTGTCTGAAGCAGATTGGACGCTTACGAACGACGAAAAGGATATCTCGGTCCCTGGCAAGGTCCCTTCGCAGACTCACCTGGACTTGTTTGCCGCGAAAATCATAGATGACCCATACCATGGGCTGAACGACTTCGACCTACGATGGGTTGCCATGGCTGACTGGAACTACACTGCTCAAGTCTCTGGACTATCGAAAGAGGAAGGCCTAAATACTTTCTTGTTGTTTAACGGTCTCGATACATTTGCCAATATTAGCCTCTGCTCTAAATCTGTTGCCAACACAAACAACCAGTTCCGTCAATACTTCTTCGACGTCACCGATATTTTGTCCAGCTGCAGTTCTGATTCTCCTGAGCTTCTCGTTGAATTTGGTAGTGCTCCTAGAATCGCCAATGAGATTGCAGCTCTACCTGGAGCTCCTACTTGGCCCGAGGGTCCTCCTATTGGTCTTGAGATTGAGTTTGAATTCGGGAACCGCCAGTTTATCCGAAAAGAGCAGTCGGACTTCGGTTGGGACTGGGGCCCAGCGTTCGCCCCGGCAGGTATCTGGCAGAAGGCGTGGATTGTGCAACTTCAAAAGGAGGAGATTCACGTTCGCAACTCGATATTCGATCTCTATCGCGAGGGTCAGTTGAACCTTCTTCCCCCTGATCAGAATGCCAATTGGGTCTTGAACGCCAGCATTGATGTAATCGGCACCGTGCCGCAAGGGGCGACTATGAACTACAAGATCTTTGACCTTGCTACTCAAAAGGAGGTTAGCAGCGGTGACCTGACAGACGTGGAGAACCATGGAGATGTGATTACTGGTAATGCCGTTCTAGATGCCAAGGACTACAAGTTATGGTGGCCAAGCGGACTGGGAACGCAGAACCTTTACAATATTACTGTTGATGTAGTATCCGAGTCGGGTAAGAATCTTGCCTCAGTAGTGAAGCGTTCTGGATTCAGAACGATCGTTATGAACATGGGCGAAGTCACGGACGAGGAGATAGCCCAAGGAGTAGCTCCAGGTACCCACTGGCATTTCGAGGTCAACGGCCAAACATTCTACGCTAAGGGTAGCAACTTCATCCCTCCAGATACATTCTGGCCGCGGGTAACTCCAGAGAAGATCCGGACAATGTTCAACTCGGTGATCGCTGCAAACATGAACATGCTTCGCGTCTGGGGAGGCGGCTCATATCTACCCGATTTCATATATGACATCGCAGACGAGATGGGCATCTTCCTCTGGTCTGAGTTCCAGTTCGGTGATGCTCTTTACCCTACCGATCCGGATTTCCTCGAGAATTCTCGTCAGGAGGTCGTGTACAATGTCCGCCGTGTTAATCACCACCCTTCGTTAGCTCTCTGGGCCGGTAATAACGAAATTTTGCTCTGGATGATTTCAATACTTCCAATTATTGCACCAGATGAACTCGACCACTATAGGCACGATTTCGAGATACTATTCCTAGACACATTCGTCCCTGCTGTCTTCGGAAACACCCGGAGTATTAGCTATATGTCGAGTAGCGCGAACACTGGATACTTGTCTCTCAACCACAGCGACCCGAAGCCGATTGTCGAGCGATACCTGAACGCCACGCCCGGACACATCTACGGTGATACCGATTATTATAACTACGATATCTGGCAGGGATTTAACGTATCAGCTTATCCGGTTGGTCGATTCGCAACTGAGTTCGGGTTTACCAGTATGCCTAGTATCAACTCGTGGAAGAATGCTGTGGATGAAGAAGACCTATGGTACAACAGCTCAACCATCGTGCTCCGGAACCACCACCAGCCTCCCCGTGGGCTTAACACCAGTGACTTCGAGATGGCGACCGAAGGTATGATTCAAATGACCAATGGTGTAGAGACATATTATCCCGCGCCGATGAAGACGGATCCCATTGCCAATTTCTCTGCCTGGTGTCACTCGACACAGATCTACCAAGCCGACTTCTACAAAAGCCAGATCGAATTCTACCGTATCGGTTCCGGAAGGCCCGAGCGCCAGCTTGGAAGTTTGTACTGGCAGCTCCAGGATGTCTGGCAGGCACCGACATGGTCAAGCATTGAGTACGAGGGCCGATGGAAGATCCTACACAATACTGCCAAGGACATCTATCAATCTGTCATCGTGGCGAATCTCTGGAACGTAACTACCGGCATCCTTGAAGTTTACGCAGTGAGCGACCTCTGGGAAGAGACGAAGGGCAAGGCAAGTCTTAGCTGGGTTGGTTGGGATGGCAGCGTTCTCGATGTTGATACGGCTGATATCCAGGCGGGAGACGTGGACTTCACTATCGGACCGCTCAACACCACGTTGCTCGCACGAGTGGACATAAACAAGTTGAAATCAGACTCGTCGTTCGATGCTAGCAAGGCCGTCTTGGTGGCCAACTTAACGGCTACCGGGACCCCGCCGAACGGCGAGGCAACGAAGACTTTCACGCACACCAACTACTATACACCCACACCGTTGGCTTCAGCTGCCCTAGTTGACCCCGGTCTAAGCGTCGAGCACGACAGCAGCGCCAACGAATTCGTTGTCCGAGCCGACAAGGGAACTAGCATCTGGACTTGGGTCAGCGTGGGAGACAAGGATGCCGACGACGTCATCGTCGGTTTCAACCACAACGGATTCCTGCTGAGGAAGGGCGAGGAGAAGCGCATCGGATACACCGTCATTAGCGATAACGGGCAGAAGGCCGGGTGGGAGAGCAGAGTTAGTGTTGGTAGTGTTTGGGACAATACCTTGCCGTGAGGGGTAGAGGGAAATAGGGGGAGGAAGTAGAGTGATAATAAGTATATAGATAATATTCTAATTGTTCTAATAATAATATGGTATTAACTATATCTTTATATATAAATATAGTCTGTATTGTTGTCTCATAAGAGCGTCGTTTCGCTATATACCTATAGTATGCTTTATCAAATTCTTCTACATCTTGTTAAGGTCTTACGAGTGAACTGAATGTGAGATGATGCGCTTCTTTTGCTGAACGATATCCGCCATCTTCGCCCCGAAATCTTAAGTTCCGAGACACAAGTCTTTCCATGCCAGCCTTAAATTCCTAGAGAGACGTAAGAAAGGGTTATGGTGCCAGTTAGCAGCTGTTTGAAATATTGACGGCCCGGCAAGAAAAGAAACGCAGTCGATACCTTTTACGGGTCTTCCAAATCCGAGTTCACCGACAACTCTATCACCAGACTTATAAATTCGTACTTACTCCAAAAGCCGGTGTCTCTCTCAGCTTTCAAGGCTATAGCTATGCGCCATGTTGTTCAGAATCAAATTGAGCCCGAGCGCGTGGCTGCCGTCATGCTGTCATGGCATTCTCTTGAATTAGTATCGTGTAGGAAAATGCAAACATTATGGGCAGGGTACGGGTACATCTACGAAGTCAAAGCTCGAGCTACTAGTGCTGAAGCTGCAGCCGAACTTCGAAGAAAATGCGGTCCTACTATTCCTAATATCAATAGGAATATTAAGGAGAGTGAAGAAATATTTCCTCTAATCCTCAAATACATCGCGCCCCCACAGAAAAGTCTGGATTTCGAAGACGAAGGCCATTTGCGAAAACTAATGAGTTATGGGGTTGAGCAATACTTTTATAGCTCTGTCGCCCCATTATTAGGGGAGGACACCGCCGTAGCTCACTGTGTTGCTACGACACTAGAGTCTCATGGGAAGCCTGGCGCTGAGATGCTCCAAGGTCTAACAGCAACAAGTACGCAATCCACATTTACCTATCTGAAGCTTTCTATAGATACACTGCCCGTCAAATAAGCCTCTAGATGCGCCTTGTAATTTCTAATATAAATGAGAACTAACTCATTCTTCTTCTTCTTATAGTCATGTCTGACCTGAGACCTAAATTTCCTGTTGCCGGAGAGAAGAGGTCAGAACTCAATGAGAAGCAGGTCTGCGCTGCACTGGATTGGCTCTCTAGTTTCCATCGGGCCAGTCGGAAATTAGTACCCGGAAATCTGCGAGAATACTTGCGCCCCCCTCTCGAAGAAGCCGAGAGACGACGGCATGGAGATGACTCTGGGAAGAAGTTGTGGCTTAATGGAGGGTATACATATCTCGCCACTCGCCGTACAGAATATGCTGCCCTTGCCGAAGACGAGGACTCGGAGTGGTCTACGCTCTGCACGCCAGTCGCTCCGGGCGGACAGTCTATCTCCGAGATGGTGGCCAACTTTTTAACTCCGCGTGGCCGAGGGTATGAAACCATCATCCATGGGGACGTCAAATCCGAGAATTTATTTACAACTGAGCCCGGTCATAAGGTTGCATTTTTCGACTTTCAATATGTCGGTCTCGGCTTAGGTGCCTGCGATCTGGCCAAATTATTTACGTGTTCAGTTCCGCTAGAATTACTTATAGACGAGGAGAATAATATCCCCAACGAGCTCTCGATGGGTAAGGGCGAGGAAACGCTCCTTGCATATTACCATGCGAAATTAACCAATGGCTTCAAAGATGCTGAAGGACGAAAGCAGGAATACGACTGGAGCCTATTCGTTCGGCATTGGGAGACTGCACTAGTTGACTGGTTGAGATTTCAGGCCTCGTGGGGTTTCTGGGGCAATACAGAATGGCTCGAGGCCAGAGTTCGATCTATTCTCAGGGATCAACAGTGGAGAAAGTGGCTTCGAGAGAACCTAGACTTGGGATCTGAATAGACTTTTACGTTGTAAATGTTACCTGGAAGAGATGCATTACCTATACTATGAGATGAGATAATCATGGAGGCTGAATTAGACTATTTCCGAATAATAAAGTAAATGAATATGACAACGTGTTGCCTGTTATTTTCGTAAACTAATATTAGGATTCAAGTTGGAGGCTCCCGGACGCGACGCTACGTTGGGAGCAGCTATTTCATATTTAGCCGAGTAGATGTATGCGTGAACGGCTTGACCTAGAACGGCGCGGCGTTTTGACTTTATATGTTTCAATATTAATGGCCTTACACGCGTCACGGTTGCCACCGGGGTCCCTATTCCCCAACATCTCCGCAGGGGCAATGCTACCTACTGATTAACCGAACGATCCGCTTTCCGGATTCGGAATGAGGCAGGCCACGATGAATTTACCAACTGGTAGATTAGCCTAAGGGATGAACGCACAGAGGAGACATCCGGGAAAATGGCAGTGGTCACATGAGACGTGTACAAGACTGACCTAGGTAGGATGAACGGAATCAAAATGTTTATTTACCTTGAGGATCGCCCACCGGATGTTAAGTGATTCTTTAAGTAAAACTACTAACTAGGACATCTAAGACTCTCCAAGTTAATACCGGCTCTTGTAAAGAAACAGCAATATGAAGGTCTTGTCGACACTCGCAACTTTAGTTGCGCTTGGCAGCTGCCAATCCCTCACTCAGGTCAGCGACTTCAGCGGTACTCCCACGAGGCTGGGCATGTACTCGTATGTGCCCAGTAACCTCAAGACCCCGGCGCCTATCGTCGTAGCTGTACACCACTGCCAAGGTTCAGCTCAGGGATACTTCTCTGAGTCCCAATACGCGCCATTGGCTAACCAGTACGGTTTTATCTTGATCTACCCTAACTCTAAGTCTGGGGGTGGTTGCTTCGATGTCGCTTCCGATGCTAGTATGACTCCCTTTCTTCTCTTGCTATACTACCAATAGGTATATCGCTATCATGAAAAAGTTCCTAACAGAGTCTTTGTAGCCTTAAAGCACGATGGCGGTGGTGACAGTCAGACTATTGCCAACATGGTCAAGTACGCCGTAGAGAAATATGGTGGAGACGCAAACAGGACATATGTCACTGGAACTAGCTCCGGTGCCATGATGACCAACGTTCTTCTCGGAGCCTATCCCGACGTTTTCAAGGCAGGATCCATCTACTCCGGCGTTCCAGACGGATGCTTCGCTGTCCCCGGATCTACTGCCACTCAGGACCCCCCGGGATGGAACAACCAGTGCGCCAACGGACAGACCACCAAGACTGCTGCTCAATGGGGTGACCTCGTGCGATCTTACTACCCGGGATACACCGGCCCTCGTCCCCGAGTTCTAGTGTAAGAAGAGTCCTAACCAAGTCAGAATATCTTTTTGGACTGCTTGAACTAACTAATATATTGTAGTTGGCACGGCACCGCTGACAGCACCCTGCGATACCCCAACTGTACGTTTTAACCCCACGAAATGTTCAGCGAAAGATGCTAATTTCATAAACAGACCAGGAGACACTTAAGCAGTGGTCCAACGTCTTGGGTCTTACCACTTCCAAGGACACCGCCAACACTCCCCAGAGCGGGTACACTCAGACCATCTATGGTGAGGGCACCGCCACGACAGCGCAGCTCGTTGGATACAGCGCAGCGGGCGTTGGCCACACCGTGCCTATTCACCAGAAGGATGATCTCGCATTCTTCGGCATTGCGTAAAGGCAGAAAAGGGTCCCCGATTGGCCAAGGCAAGAATTTATTTGGCTTTGCCAACTTGTAAATAGCGAAAGCTCGGTTATCCGGCCGATTAAAATTTGTTCTTTTCGCCGTACTATATTAAGGCTACTCAGACGTATATATATAAGTTTATTTTGCCTCGTAACTCTTTACCCAAAGCTTAACTACCTACATAGTGTTCGAAATATCATAGCCTTCTAGGCATTGAACTCGCAAAGCTTAGATGATGTGGCCGGGTACTAAAATCAGAAACTAAGGTAATTGACTAATTCCAATATGATAGAACGACGACATGTGTATAAGGCAAACGCCACGTGGTTGGAACGACAACTCCCTACTATAAGACCCTGAGATCCGTTGCGCCCGGGTAGCTGGAACCCTTACTAAAGACTTTAATCCGTCGGAGACATTTTTTACGCTCGAACTTTTGGAAATTATTATGCGAAATTGATAAGGAAATGATAAGGAAATGATAAGGAAATGATAAGGAAATGATAAGGAAATGATAAGGAAATGATAAGGAAATGATAAGGAAATGATAAGTAATTGATAAATAATTCATCAATAAATGATAAGAAATTGATAAGAGATTAGATGTCTCCGACGGATTTTCACGTGCGAGCCTGCGAGCACATGAAAACGCTTGCGCGAGCTTGCGAGTGCATGCGTTTTCTTAAAAACTAAGAACGCCCCGGAGGCTTAATATTAAGTACTTCTAATTAGGCTATTAAAGCTCAATTGGGGCCCTGGGAGCTTAATGCACAATATCTCTAAGTAGTCTATGATTCTATTTATACCCCGTCACTAGTATGGTAATGTTAATAACCACCGAAGAGAAAACGATTTGAACATAAATAGGACCTGGGACGAAAATTCCTCTAGCTGGACTGGAAGGTCACGAAAAAGATAATAGGTAATTATATTTTAAACCTTTCTGCTGTCCATCAAGTTCATGCTTCACCAAACTATTTGAGCCCGCCTATTCTCTAATAAAGCACTTTTAATCTCAACGGAGTTGGTAGAAAGGTGGATATTTAAGCAAATCGACTCGAACTGGCGGATATTTCTAAACCTAAAACATAAATCAAGAACGTATTTCTATAAGATGACTTTATAGTGACAGTTTCGAGTTACACAATCGACTACCGAACTGAGCTGGGCCTGAGTTGACAGGGGAGATGTCTTGGCAGAGCGACCTTAAAGAACTATACTAGGTACCTTAGCTATACCACATAGCCAATGACGGTTGAATACAAGCTGCCGACGTAGAATGCAATCGGGGTAGATCATTAATATCCTAAGCTTGGCTGTGGGATTTACCCTAGGTAGATCAAGTGCAATCCATGACACCATGTGGAAATAGGAGGCATCGGGGGTGTCTCGTATGCATTTCCCGAACAGGCGCCCTGTGTAAGTAGTATATGAGGTAACATTCGCGTCTATTCCACTTTAGTTTGTCAGGCAAATGTGCGCTTAGCAGATAAAGTAGAGGGGGATGGATTTGCTGGGTCTCGGGATATACCGTGTAACTATTCCTAGTTGTGAATGGGAGACCTTCATCATCGTCATCGTCATCGATATCTAGTGCTCAAGAGAGATCAACGCTTCTAGTACCTAGATTCTACCTACGATTCAGGACAATAATCAAAGAGGAACATGTCCTTCCCGTATAAGAACGTCCTTTTGATAGGCGCCACAGCCGGAATCGGCCTGGCGCTGGCAGAGCGCATGATTGAAAATGGCATCTTCGTCATTGGTGTCGGGCGCCGGAAGGAAAGGCTCGACGCATTCGTAGTTAAGCACGGGTCCAACAAGGCCGCAGCATCGCAATTCGATATCACCGAGTTCGACAAGATCGAGGGGTGGGCCAAAGAGTAAGTAAACCCACAGATCTAAGACTACCTACCTAACCTAAGGGCCGCGCTGATTCCGGCTGGGCTGACCAATGCGCATAGCATCACCGAGAAGTATCCCGATATCGATGCCGTGATCCTTAACTCGGGCATCCAGCGCACCCTGGACTTCTCTAAGCCCAAGGAGATCGACCTGCCCCGCACGATACAGGAGCTGGGCACAAACTATACTTCGTATCTGTATTTAATCACGTACCTGCTCCCGCACCTACAGGCGCTCGCGCCGAAACCCGCAGCTCTCGTCGCCGTGACCTCCGGGCTAGCACTCGTCCCGCTCCCGCGATGCGGCAACTACTGCGCGACCAAAGCAGCGCTGCACTCGCTACTATGGTCTATCCGCGCGCAGCTCTCCCACGACGAGGGCAGCCGGCACATCCGGGTCGTGGAGATTTTGCCCCCGGCCGTGAAGACCGAGCTGCACTCGCAGCAAGCGGAGCTTGTGAAGATCGGACAGGGCGACATCGGCATCCCCGTCGAGCAGTTCACGGACGAGGCGTGGGCGGGCCTGGTTAGCGGGGACGAGGAGATTCCCGTGGGCCATGTTAAGGAGCGCTTTGAGATTCTCGAGGGCCCGAAGAGAGCCCCGTTTCGGAAGATTGTAGAGACGTTTATGGGGAAGAAGTGACAATTAAGGGAGAGGTTGTAAGTAAGCCTTGGGTTTCTATAGCGATGAAGTACCTAGGATCTATATTAATAAAGGGGGTACTTGTCAAGGGGTACTTGTCAAATAATTTAAAAGCTGGAGGGCGATCGTCACGATAGCAACCACGAATTCTACAGCTAGCACGGGAAAACTGATGCACATTCTTTTGGTGATAGGAATTATGTATATTGTAGATAGAAATCCCCCCCGAAGCGAGATTTCTAAGGGCTCTATCAAGAACTCTAGTAGCCGAAGATCATGACGATACCCCTTAACTACCAGTCCATGACGAATAAAGCTATAAATCCAGCAGTGCCCACGATTAAGATGTATATAGCACCTTTAATCTTTTTGACGACTCTCTTGCCGAAACTCTTCTTTTTTGTCTTTTTGGTATCCATAATTGCTATAGTAAGAAAAAGTCTTCAGGTCAAGTCTTTGGTTCTCTCCTTGGATATTTATATTTTTCCTAGAGGGTACCTAAGCTACTACGTACCTACGTACGAAAGGGAAAAATGCCTTTGATCCCTAATCCTTGGTCGTGACTAAGAAAAGGTGCTACTCGGTGACAAAGATGATATATTCAGCACATTATTCGCTCATGACTCCTGATTGTTGTAATAGTTTTAGAAGCTAGTTTCCTTAGTTTGATGACAGCAAACATCTTTGTTTGCAAGTTCGATAATTCACCGCCAATGAGAAACATGAGCTGTTGAAAGAGGTGATGTAGGCTGATTAGGTACAAAGTAGTTATTACCAACGCCTTCTACATAATAGGCATAGCTGGGATAATGTTAATGAAGAAAAACTCCCAAGTCCTAGACTAATTCCTTCGACTCCAGATAGCGGAGATTCAATGCAAGATCGAATAAGATCCTCCGTTACGTACGTGGCGGGTCAAACAAGTGCACGAAATATTGAATCGAGCTAATCATAACTTGGCATCCCATGTGCTTTTGATTCTCAAGTGACACTATGACAAGAAAGGAGAGCTCTTCCACCTTACTGTGGAGACTATATCGAAGTCCCCTTGTCATCGTACTACTCATTGAATGAGTCTCATTCAATGAGACGGTCGGGACGTTATATGATTATGACTACATAGAGTAAGACAAGCCACGGGCATAGCATTTTTCTTTTACCAAGAAGCTGGCCGTAATAATTTAGTACATAGAGCCGCGGCTGTGTACCTAGTTGCAATAAAATTCGTGATATGTGCATGATTTCCTGACTTCCTTCCTACCTATCTCTTCAAACCAGTCTCCCCATCGCCCAGATATGAGATATCGCCCATGCGCCAGACTCCACATCCCGAAACAAAAGGGTATAACCGTCCTATACATCCATCTTAAGCCTTCCACTCGTCTCGGCCGAGCTTTACGATATCAGACGACTCCAGAACCCAATATTTGCTCGGCGCCTTGCCCTCGGCGGCCAGCACGGAAGCGCGAACAGCAGCACGTCCGATGACCTCGGCGTCCTGACCCCAGAAGTCTTGCGCGCCTTGGGTAATCTTTCCCAAGCCGCGAACGATGGTATTGAGCAGCGGCCCGCCCGTGTGCTCGACTTCGCGCTGGCCGAGAATCAGGCCCGGTCGTAGGATGATGGCTTGGTCGAAAGCAAGAGATTTAATCGCGTCCTCGACGCCGACCTTCATCTTAGAGTAGGGAGCAGCGCTGCCGAGAAAACCGCGCGTGCCGGCCGAGGAGACGAAGACGAAAGTTTTGACTCCGGCAGAGTGCGCGGCTTTGGCGAGCTCGACGTTAACTAGATAATTGGCAGCTATTGTTAGTCCTACCTTAGGTGCTTATGTCGAATGCGCATAAAGACGTGAGGGGTTCCAACGTACGATCATGGTCGATTTTCCACTGGTTCGCGATACCGCCAGCTTGAGCTCTGGTCGTTCCCAAGGCGGAGAAAACCACGGATGGCGGGGGCGCAATGGAGGAAAGATGGGATGCCCATTTAGTAGTATCGGCTTCGACGGCGGCGACTAATTTAGGCGACTCTGCTTTGGGGTGTCGTCGAGAGACGGTATAGACGGACTTGAAGGCATCGAGACCGAGGAGAGTGGTCAGTATGTGAGAGCCTACAAGGCCTGTACTGCCGATTACTGCAGCTGTCGACGTCATGGTGGCTCAAATAATTGAAGTAGTTTGTAATAGTTCGTAGGTAGTAAAATAATGTTGGAGGTGTTTAGGTGGTGCGAACAGACGTGCGCCAGTGGTTTTAATAAGGGACTTCATATCCGGTATATTGGGTGTATGTAGGTACCTAACCGTAGGTAGGTAGCCGCATCGGAGCATTTTGGAAGGTAACTCGGGGGAATAGTCCTAACCGCGATTCAATTACTCATCAAGCCAATGTACATACTAACGTATCAGCGTATCTGCGTATACTAACGTAAGTCGTACAAGAAAGCTTACAATGACGCCATTTGATAATAGTGCGGCAGCTCCGGAGTAAAAAGAAGCTGTATATATGCAGCTACTGACGGTATTATTTTAGGCGGGTTCGCTATTTTCAGCCGAGGCTTCAGCTCCAACTGTGATCCTCTAACATAAAGAATCGCATACGGAAAATATACAACATCTATCAGAAAACTACCTCATAAGTCGGGTAATATACCCCCTTTTTACCATCCAGTCTTACACTTTCCATTTTGTTATACGAAGTACAGCGCTGGTATCTCGTAAGCCCGCCTACTGCCTCATGGCGTAGGAGGCAATGGGCCGACTTGGCATGGTTCGGGGTCAACAGCTACCACATTGGAGCCAGGCGCTGATAGCCTGTGTCGAGCTGAGTGAAATACTGAAATATTTATGGAGTAGAAAAATGAGTGCAACTATAAGGTATTCACACATCTTCAAGATACAAGATGATCTTTAGACAGGGCATTGAAGGTCCAAGCTTAGGTACCTAATGTATCATGATACCTTGTTTCCAATTGGCCAGGATCCCCGACGATGCGAGGACTAACACCTCTGGCGCGAGAGCCTCAGCCCTCTGAGCTTGGTTTCAACTGCCTTATCTGGTTTAGTACCTAATAAGAAGGGGTTGTTAATAAACCCAACCCACCAGGGTAGAGGGTAAAGAGTGCGACATCTTAGCGGAAGCTCATACAAACGGTAGCCTTTCGTTTGAACGGTTTCGCATTTACCCTCTCTGCCTCTAAAGGCTCATTTCACTTCTATCTTATCCGTATCCCAGTATCCCAGTATCCGTGCCACACGGAGGTGGGCACGTTCCAACGAGGTAGGTAGAAGAAGCGGTAGAAGGTCGTCAGGAAAATGCAAACTCGGAATGAATTCTTCCCTCTGTAGAACTAACAGGAGGTAGTTACACATTCTCTTATTCTAATTATTCTAACTTCAATTCTCAGTAACTGCAGGGCAGTATATTCTAGCTAGCGACAAGGCCGGTCCTCAAGTTGCCGTAGTATTTTTGTAATAATCGTCCTTCTTTTCCTCTCATTTCCTTGATTCATTCATTTTCCGATTAAATCAGTTTGTTGGCGACAATGCATACCCCATCGTTACCCCCGATATACGAGGTACTCGAAGACGACTTTGAGAAGGGCGAGTCGGTCTATTTCTTGCCACGGAGACAGCAGCCGAGATTTAGAAGACGGCGACAGTGCGTGCGAGATGATGCCAGCCAAGGAGTTCTCTCCATAATTCTCATCGCGACTGGCATGTTTTTGCTGGGTGTAATTTCTGCATTGGCCATCGTCGACTTCAGATCCCGATATCCTGCAGATGGTAGCTACGAAACCGGGTTCCAAGAAGAGAAGCTATGTAAGTTATCTAAAAATATAGTGCGCCTAGGGCCATTGTCTAATGTCTCGTTAACTAGTACCATCCGGCTCTGTTGAGCTTGAGCAAGTCCAGTTCAAGCTACCCGTAGACTTTGCACCAGATGGAGATGAGTTCCTCGTCGCTCAGCCCGGCGATAAATCCTACATCGGTACAACCGCAGATGTCGATGCCGCCTGGAAGAACCTCCTTTGGGGAAGATACTTCTCGATTTCTGAGGCCGAGGCCAAGGAATTATGGGGAGATGAATACTCGGAGTATTGGGACCACCACAGGAGCGGCTACACGGCAGGGTGAGCTGTTCGCCCCATTTCCATATACTACAGACATTTCGAATTCTATATGCTAACTATACTATGAATAAAACAGGTTCGACATGTTCCATCAGCTGCATTGCCTGAACCAAATTAGACAGGCCTTACACCGCGACGTCTATCCGGAAACCCCCCTTCACGGACCCGTTTACACCGGTTTGTGGTTCTCTCATACCCCTCACGGGTTCCTCACCGCTAACTCTACAAGACCACTGCTTGGATCAACTGCGCCAGTCCATAATGTGCTGGGGCAGTACAGCTGTCGTCCCATTAAAGTATTTCAAGGGGTACGGCAGTGAATACGTGAAGACTGATGCAGTACATACGTGTCGAAAGTTCGAGCCGATCCGGGATTTCGTGTCTGAAAGATTCAACGGGAGCCTCTTCGTCCCGCGGCCTAGTGGATGGATTGATACTTCGGATAATGCCTTTTAAGCGAATTGATACCCAGATGGTTGCGAACCAACCTTGCTATTATTTGAATACCCATAGAAAAGTCGGTCATACGAGAGATATATCTCCAAGCAAATTTCATATCTCCTAACATAGATAGTCATATACCCCCCTTTTTTGAATTGCTAGATTGTCATTTCTAAATTCTTAGATTTCTAAGATTCTATCCTAGAGATAGGTTGGGTGAGCGCCAAGAGGCTAAGTATAGCTGGTTGTATGTATGAGAGTACCGTTGCATAGAATACTCTACCCAAAGCCTACTGGTAGACTGCTTAACATAAATAGCAACGGAGATGGTTTCCGAGCCGGACTTTCCTCTCTTTCCAAAGGGTCAACTCTAGATGTCCGCTCGGCGTGGACTTCTGCTTCGAATTCTCTGATTACTACTATCAGGAACGTGAAGAGTCGCCGTCTCAGGTTCTGACTTCTCAGAGCGCGTCTCTTCGCTTCCGCTATCCGTGTCAACGAGACTCTCCAACTCCATCTCTTCGTCAGGAACCCGTCTCGGACCATGCTGATTAGACGGGTCGGCCGGCTTTTCATGCGTGTGAAGTTTCATATTCACGAACATTGCATATAGGCCGAAGTCATATGATAGACGACAGCTACCTGCCACAATGAAGGCAATCCAAAATCGGTCGCTCGAAGCCAACATTCCGGTGACTGTAGGCCCCGTCGTAGCGGCTAGAGTCCTAACGGTGGACGTGATGCCCATAACCGCAGTTCGCTCTTCGGGCTTCACTACTGCTGCTATGAAGGCTGCTCGCGGTGCTTGGTCCATATTATTCAACCCCGCGCGGATGAGCAAAAGCCCTGCCGTCATCCAGAGATAAGGCGGGAAAGGGAAGAGCAAGACAGCGGCGGAGGATGGAGTGTGAGTAAATACCATTGTGTTAATCAATCCGATTTTTCGCGCTAGGGGACCTGCAAACGCCGCTGAGATGGCGCCCATAAAGTAACTGAACGAGGTAATGTCACCAAGGGTTGACTTGGCTGGATGAAACTTTTCGTCCATATAATAGTTGGTTAGAGAGTACGGCACCATCCCGTCTGAAAGTGAGTCGACAGCCAACAGGAACCAGAGCTTATACATGACCGATCGGGTTGGCGGTGATATTTGAGCTAGTTGATCCGATAGCCACCTAAAGACTCGAATAATCCAATTTCGAGATGCTTGAGGGGTAGGGGTCACCTCCGAAGGCTCTTCAGAATGCCCCGGATCTACGTCGGTGTCGTCTGTGCTATCATCTTGTGTGAGCTCTGTGTAGGCTTCCTTCTCTGGTTGCAGTTCACACGCGTCTGTTAGAAATAGGACCAATACAAGGTTAACAACGCCCATTACGGCGTATATCCAAAAGAGGGCATGGTATGAGTCGACCTCGGTCCAATTATCCTTACTCTGAAGGTAGCGGAGGACTCTTCCTGATAGTTCACTTCCTAACGACGAGCCAAAGAGTGCCGTAGTGACATGCCACGACAATACATCTGCTCTTGTCGAAGGGGTAGTAAGCTGCGATATTATAGACCTAGATAGGTAATTATTAATTGTTAGTGATCGTTAATTACCTACATAACAAAAAAAAAGAACTCTACTAACTCTTCGATGCTTCGAAATGGCCCAAAGTCTCCACCGGTAACACTAATAACACCGACGATCGCAGCGAGGAGCAAAATCCAGAAATTTTCAAAGACAGCAAATATGAGACCGCTCAGTATCATCAATACGGAGCCACCGAGCAAGACTTTCCGTCTTCCGACGCGGTCTGCGACGAGTGTAAGAAACGTTCCGAGGACGACATCTCCCACCAGCGTAAATGTCATGAACAGGCCAATTTGATGATCCGATATCCCCAAGGCGGAGAAGAAGATGGCTAGTTACAAATATTAATATTATTAAAACAACCGGACTATTATTTAGGTACTTTCGTTAGGTAGGTTTAATAGGTAGAAATATAAAAATTACCTACCTAAAATCAGCGCATTGGTCCCGTACGCAAACATCCGGCACGTCCGCGCCAAGATAATAAGGTAGGCATTCCGACCGGTCTCGTGGATCGCGGCGATTCCGAACTCATGGTAAAACCATTTGAGGGGCTTTACGATTGTCCCGAACATTTAGTAGCTTTATGCAATAATTAACGGCGTTTAAAAAAGAAACTACCAATAAATCCGACGTAATGTACATGTAAGAAATAGTGAAATATTATTAGGCAGGTAGTAAGATAAATTGACTGATTAAACAAAAAGATGTCGGTGTCTAGCCCTAGCCGTACCCCGGCTGGGCACCGTTGCGGGAGAGATAGCCGACGTCGGCATTGCACCATTTATCCCCGGATACGTTACATTCTCTAAGGGATAACACGGGCCCCGATAGGTGACTTATATTTCACGTCTGCATACCAGGTAGGTATACATGCCAGATTGTTTTTGACAGTTGAACCACTTACCTATGGAAATGAAGCTGCTTGTCTCACTATATCTAATATATCTTATACCAGATTTTATGTCTAAGAGTTATCCTGAAATCAAGACATCTCGGCATGTTTTATTTTAGCTTGGATATTAGATCAGTGTAAGTATATTCCGTAGTACAATGTATGTAGTATTCAGAGTTGTGACTTTGATACCCCCAATGTTTTCTCTATAAGCCCCGTATGATCCAAGTAAAGTATCTCCATCTATATGCAGAACCTTTTTTTATACTCATGTCTCGGCAAGGAACTACGAACTCCCATTCGCGCCAAGTTTGCCTTCGGTTTTTTCTATATAGTCGACCAGATCCTCGATTGTGCAGATCTTGAGTCCCCATCTCCTCGCGAATGCGATGCATCCCTCACCCCTCATCATCCCCGGGCCTTCTCGCACAGCCCTTCCGGCCACCTCATCCCCATCTTCGACTATCTCGCAGATCGCCGCCACCTCCGGCTTACCCGCCAGTCTACAAAAGTCTACTCCGGCTTCGGTATGCCCTCTCCGAGCTCTAACACCGCCTGGACGTGCGCGCAGGGGGAACACGTGGCCTGGGCGCCGAAAGCTGGCGGCGGTAGATTTAGGGTCTGCGAGATGCCGGACTGTTAGAGCACGATCATGGGCGCTGATGCCGGTGGTAACGGAGGGATCGGCGGCATCGATGGAAATTGTGTAGGCGGTTCCACGAGGGTCTTCGCTATTTTCTACCATCTGCGGTAGTTTCAGGGATTCTGTAAGGGCGTGTGTGATAGGCGCGCAGATCAAACCGGACGTGTGTCGAACCATGAAAGCCATCTGCTCGGTTGTTATGCTATCGGCGGCTATGATCAAGTCTCCTTCGTTCTCACGACCCGGGTCGTCCATAACGACTATAAATTCGCCATTGCCTATACCGATACCAATAGGTTCGCGTTAGTCGACTGCGACATAGAGTGATCTCAGGGAAAATCCTCTTAGATATCTAGGACTGAGGACACATACGGAATGCGGCAATTGTTTCGGGTATGCCGTCAAACTTATTATGACTGATGAGCGCAGACGGCATGATAGGCGATGATTGTATAAGGTACTTTAATGTTATTAATTTCCAAGGCTCTCTAGAGTATCCCAAATCGGGAATAAATTGGAGGACTGCGTCACAATGTACGATCGAACGATGGCGTATAAGTGGTAAGTGGTAGGTAAGATGTTGTCTGTTTAGAGTCAAGTTGCTTTTTAGGAATAAAGGCCAACAAAGTCTCGATGTTTGAGTAATTTACACAATGAAGGAACTAGAAAGCTTTATGAGTAAGAAATGACTACAAATTACGGTAGGCAATTACTCATCCCGGGATTTTCAGACCGGACAATGAGGGAGCAACTTGTAAAATGCTGACTGATGACCCGTTTGTCTCATCTAAGCTAGGTAAGACTTCGCCGAGGGACTTCTACACTAAAGGGACTTTCCTCGGCGGGGTCGGATTTCAACTATGTAGGTACATACTTCGTACTAGTATGTACATATGAGGGGCTTGCGCATTAAAGATCTGTGGGGCACAAGTTAATCCGCCGTCCCTCAGGGTCCGAAATTACATCACATTAGACATTATCGCGTATTTTCATTGGCCAATCCCAAATTCTACCTTAGGTACCCTTGTACCACACGATCGGATTTTCCACTAGGCTGAGCCGGCGCATGCCGTCAAAGGGTACTCACATGCATGGCTCTTTAGTGTAGCTCACCGGGTAAGCTCCTTACCTAATTTGGAATTGGAACTTTTCAATCTTCATGCCATCAGTCTTCTCCCGTCTTCTACTCTTACACGACGACAGCCAGCATCCGCCGCGGCTAAATAGACAAGTTTTTTAAAAATTGCTCGAGGGTAAAGCTGCTAGTTATCAAATACAGTAAATCATGCCACCCCGTATCAAAATAAAACCCGCGCTTCTCCGACAACTCCGATATTCTCCAGCCAGTCCGCGTCCCGTTCGATGCATAATAATATCTCCAAGTCGGAGCTTCTCGGTCACGAAAGCCTCGGCCTCGGCTTCGGCTTCTCACTCTTCCCCGAACTCTACCTCCGCCGATTCCACCTTCACGACCGTTTCTCCCGAGGAGGTCTCTCACTTCAACGCCCTCGCATCCTCGTGGTGGGATCCTCAGGGACCATCCCGCATCCTCCACTTGATGAACCCGCTGCGCCATGACTTCATTCGCTCATGTCGCTCTTCAGCCCTCGATAATCCACCCCCGCCTTCGAATAACTTGAAATACTTAGATATAGGTTGTGGAGGTGGTATATTCGCCGAGTCTGCTGCCCGATTGCCTACGACCGCGTCCGTGACGGCCATAGATCCCAGCTCCGAGGTGTTATCTATTGCTAAAGCACATGCTAAGCGGGATCCTGCCTTGAAATCTAAGTTAACTTACATAAATACGCCTATCGAAAATCTGCCGGTTCCGGGTACACCTCAGGACGGCTACGATATTGTGTCCATCTTCGAAGTCATAGAACACGTGTCGAATCCAGCCGAATTCCTCGATCGGTGTGCTCCCTTCGTCAAACCGGGCGGCTGGTTGGTTCTCAGTACTATTGCGAGGACATGGCTTAGCTGGGTGACGACCAATCTCGTGGCGGAAGACCTACTTCGTATAGTACCGAAAGGCACCCATGACTGGCAAAAGTACATCAACGAAGAAGAATTAAAAACACACTTTCTCCAAAACAGGACAGAATGGACTGAGCCTAGATGTATGGGCGTAGTTTACGTTCCTGGTCTTGGCTGGAAGGAGGTGACTGGTAGTGAGAAGATTGGCAACTACTTCTTCGCCGTGAGAAAGGTCACCAATACAGTATAATTAGTCGGGTGTTGTCTCAATTGTTACATGACCTTAAAAATACGGCACTATCTCTTATCCCTATAACTACGTCCAATTACCAAAATCTTAGTTATAAGAGTCCCAGTTATGGGAGACGCCATCCAGACCTACATCGATTACACCATTCTCCTCCAAACTACCACCATACCGATATGAGTCTCCCGTTGTCACGTTCAACTGCAGATACGGCTCATTTGGTGTTGTTACCTGCTTGCTCAAAGGAAAAGACAATACTATAATATTGCCAAGGGGTCCGTCCAAACGAATTCGATCCGATAACTCATAATAATACATATTGTATTAACTAAACATCTAGATACACTTTTACAACCCATCTCACGCTTCTGCCGATTGGCAACTGAGTATATCTTAACGCTTACTACGTCCTTATCGAGACTTTTCTGGTTATGGACTGCTTACGCGATAAGACGTACTCATGTTGGATGTCGTCATCCCGAATGTAACACTATCAACCAATGGTAAGCAGGGATACTATAGATACTACCTGGAACAAAACGTCTACCCTACCTAGATACCTAGGTAGTTAAGAAAACCTCGAAGTAATTGGCGCGTCTGTCTTGATTAAGAGCTAGTTTAAGTATGGATTTGGCTATACCGAATGCTCATCCCTTACCGATGGTTATAGCGGATCTTTGATCGATACATTGTGGCAGCATGGACACACCCAGAAGTAGTCCTCTGTTTATTCTTCCAGTTCGAGCCTCACCCTTATCTTGACCAGTCGTATGGGAAGACTTATAATATCCAAGTACTACTCACTCTAGCTACATACAATAATGGGGACATCTTCAACATCAGGAGCTAACGACGAAAAGTCGTCGACTTCCCCCGACGAAGTTCGACCAGAGGGAGGCGAATCTGTTCTCGCTAGTAACGGGAATGTCATCGACGATGGCTTACAGCGCGGTCTCAAAAACCGCCACCTAGTCAGTAACTGTTATAATTTATAATTCCATTGTGCGTAAATACCTACTTAAGAAAATATAGCAAATGATCGCCTTCGGCGGCGTCGTAGGAGCTAGTATCTGGTACGGGTCCGGCTCAGCAATCGCCTACAGCGGACCCGTCGGCGCTCTAATCTGCTTTCTCATCATCGGCATCGACGTCTTCTTCGTCATGCAGAGCCTAGGCGAGATGGCGACGCTATTCCCCATCCAAGGCGCCTTCATCGAGCTCGCCGGCCGATTTGTCGACCCGGCGCTGGCGTTTGCGCTCGGGGTTAATTATTGGTATGCCTGGGTGACGAATATCGCCAATGATTATAACAATATCTCGCTCATCATGGGGCTTTGGACGGATGCCGTGCCGTCGTATGCTTGGGTATTGATCTTTTGGGTCGGCTTTCAGTGTACCTCGCTGCTCGGCATCGTGGTTTACGGCGAGATGGAGTTCTGGCTCGCGTGTTGGAAGCTTATATGTGTCGTCGGCGGTTTTCTCGTCGCCATTCTCGTCAACACGGGGGCTATCGGTGGCGAGTACATTGGATTCCGATATTGGCGAGACCCCGGGGCGATCGCGAACGGGATCAACGGTTTCGGCAAGACTTTTGTCTTAGCCGCGGTCTATTACAGCGGCACTGAGATGCTCGCCCTGACCGCTGCCGAGAGCCGCAATCCGAAGAGAGACTTGCCTAAGGCAATCCGACAGACCTTTTGGCGCATATTGATTATTTTCCTGGGTTTGATCTTCTTCGCTGGAATTATCGTGCCGTATAATGATAGTTCGCTTCTAACGGCGACGAGCAAGTCCGCGCAGTCCCCTTGGACGGTTGCTCTCGTGCACGCTGGTTGGGCGGGCGGCGGGAATCTGGTAAATGTCGTTATGATTACCGCGCAGCTATCGTCTGTCAACAGCGCCATATACGTCGCCTCGCGGAGCCTCGTAGCGCTTGCGGTCAACGGTCGTGCACCCGCCTTCTTCGCCCGGACAACAGCCAACGGGGTACCTGCTAACGCCATCGTCTTCTCCAACGTGCTCGGTCTCCTGGCCTTGCTGAACATCGCCGCCACTCCCGGAAAAGTGTTCAGTTATCTGGTCAGCATTTCCGGAGCTGCCACTTTCATCGCGTGGGCTTTTATAGGCGTCACGCACCTGAGGCTACGCCGGGCCTGGGTATTACAAGGCCGCAGCATCAACGAGCTACCTTACCGGGCTTTCCTATACCCGTATGGTGCTTGGTTTGTTGTCATATTGAATCTGTTTCTTGTCTTCATCTCCGGGTACGAAGTCTTCGTCGGGGGCTTTGCAGCGGTAGATTTCGTCTTCTCATACGTCGTGATCGCGATATTCACAGTTCTATATTTCGGTTGGAAGTTCGTGAAGAGGACTCGGGTTGTTCGGTTGGCTGAGGCGGATCTCGTGAGTGGTAGAAGAGACTATCTGGTTCCGGAGGAGGAGAGTACCTCGGAAAAGCCAGGGGTTCCGTGGTATGTTATGGTCAAGAGGTTCATCTTTAGTTAAAAGTTTGAATTTCGTGTAACTAAACAGTTGGAAATTTGTGTTTGATTTAGTATATAATAATAGACATACTGTTTTATACACCTACCCTATTCGTATTACGACTCATCTAATGGCTGAGTAGATCCATTCTGTTGCCAATATTCGTAACCAAAAAACCAGCAGACAGACAATACTGCATCTGTTACGGTCCTAACTAGGGCAGCCGATGATGGAGGCGGCGAGTCCAACGAGAGGTTCATCTCGCTCAACGCAGATTTATATGCATCGTCCTCACACAACAAATTCGTAATGTTATATTGTTCCCCGTACATCGTATGTAATATTAACCCTTGCTTGACATAGTTTGGGATATTACTAATATCCTTGTCCATTAGCAGTCGAACAACATCATCGTGTCGCCACTTGATTGCATAGTACAATGGTATCCGGTGCCATTTATCCATAGATGCAGCGTCAGCACACTGTTCAAGCAAGATTCGTATGGTAGTAGTATTTCCGTTTTCGGCAGCATAAGATAATGCTGTTCTCCCCTGAGTATCCTTTAATTCGGTATCAGCGCCGTTCTCGATCAGTAAACGGACTGCAGCGTCACAGCCTTCTTCGGCGGCATACGATAACGGCGTCCTACCCGTGATATCCCTTGCTTGAATATTTGCGCCGTATTGTAACAAGACTTGTACGATGCAATCGCTATAACTTAGGATATCGTACCCTCTCCTCGATGTAACAGCATAGAAGAGCGGGGTTTTCCCCTCAAAGTCTGCTGCTTCAATATTGGCGCCTTTCTCGAGTAGTAGGCGCGTAATAGTGACATGTCTATTTCTCACGGCCTTAATGAGTGGTGTGTCAAATAGATATTCCGAGTTGACATTAGCACCGTTATCAAGTAATAGCCTCGCTACTACATGACCTTCTTGAGCCGCCCACATTAACGGTGTTTGGCTATCGTTCGTATCTTTCGACTCGATATCAAAACTTCCCCTGTCTAATAGCTTCCCGACAGCCACTTCGAGCCCAAGGTACGATGCATGCGTCAGTGCGGAGTAGAATCGTGGATATTCATTATGCAGAGACGCCCAAATAATGTACCATAGCATACTTTCTTTTAGATCCAAGAGGCGCAACATAGAATTCTGGATTGGCTCGTCCTTTTGAAACCGAGCTTGCTGGTAATGAGTAGACCAATTTTGTGTTGAATATCCGAGGAAGGGATAAAGGTCGAAAAACCATTCGTTGCGTGGAAAATGGTTAATAAGGCGGCGACAAAAATTTGTTACGCTATCATCCTCATCCCAACCCCAATCACAGGCCTTGAAACAGTCAAAGAGAAGATACCAAATGCAGGCTTTGGCGAGAAGGCGATGTGATTCCACTAAATCCAGAGAATGTTTCCATCGAAGACGAGAGCTTGTTGGTGCAGTTATAATTGGTTGATCTTGGCTCTTGACTAGAAAATCCATTGCGGTTTGATGAAGTAGGTATACCTTCGATTCCACGATTGTAATGAAACATCCACTCAGATCTCTGACAGTGCGTTTAAACCGATCTTCCGGTTCAAGCAGAAGATCGTCGTTCTTTCGGTGGCTTTCTTTAACAGCCAATGCTACTGCTATTTCCTTTAAAGAAAGCGGTCGCGTGGCGGCAACCACGATACTTAAGAGCCGCTTAGCCTGTACTGCATCAAAGCTTCGGCACAGAATCTTATCATAGGCGGCTTCTACTGTTTGAGGAAGGGTATGAATGTGTTGCTGTAGTCCTTCTTTCGTAATGTCGACGTTGTCCTTTATAGCGTTGAAGACGAGATATATCCATAAGTATGTCCGATGGGGAACTTTGGTAATCTCCTGTCTCAAGGCTTCCTTTTCATTCATTGACAGTCCGAGCCCAAGGTCAAGATTTCGAATATTATCCTCGATTAACAAGCTGATATCTTGAGAAAATTCGTATACCTTCTCTTCCCCACTTAGATGAATTGTAGGGATGCGGCTTTTTAGACGTTCAAAACCTCGTCGAATAGTAGAATGCGGTCGACTGGTGAAAAGGAACTTCAATACGCCCGTGCTACCGTTTAGGTTATTTGGTGAATATAACTTGCTCAATACTTCAATTAGTTGAGATCGACCCTCTTCCTCGCATTCGTCGAAAGCATCCATGATACAGACAATTTCTCCATCGGCTTGAAATGTTGTCAGCTCGACGAGAATTTCCCAGAGCCCCGAGAAAGAGCTAGTAAGCGTTTCTCTGGATTCGAACATTTCGATTATTTTATTGGAGAGGAGATCAGGTCTTTGATCGATAATCTGTCGTATAATACAGCGTATGGCGACCGTCATATTCCTTTGGTCTTTTAAATCTTCCTTGAAGAAGAAGTAGCAAGTGGTCCTTGTATCCGTGCTGGCGAGTACCTTATCGGCCAGATACCTTGCTAAAACAGATTTCCCACATCCTGGATCCGCGGATACCCAGAGCATACTCGGCGTTGTGCTATCCCTCCAATCGTGGAATTGGGGGTGATCTGTGAACCAAGCACATGTACCGCTAAGGCGCTCCGGAATCGTGTTCTTGCAATCTTCATATGGCAGTACGTCAAGTGCCTTTAGGACTTTCAATGTTTTGGTGCTTTTAAGTAACCCTTAAGTGCTATATTAGTAGCCGCTATACGTTGGTGATAGTTTACTGGGACATGAAATGAGTAGTAAACCTCCACATTGATAATAGGAGAATGCCTTCCAAGACAGCAAACCCGGTCGACGATATTGTTGGTCCAGTTTTCAATACAGGGGATTCATTTCCATCAGGTGTTCCTTGATTAAAAGATGCTTAACTTACCAGGTTGGGTTGACTCCTTTGCCATCTCATAGAGCTCTCTAATATTGCTTCGCACTATTTTAAAATTGTCGTTGTCAGTTTGGTTTAAGCCAAACTTGCATACCCTGCTGTGATCTGCGTCTAACGCCACTATGGTCTCCCGATCACCAGGCAGATTGAGGCGTGCACTTAACCTTGGTACGACCTAGGGCTGATGCTTAGCACAATAAAGTCATCTTAGGACAACAGACTTACACTATCAAATGCTCCCCAAAATGAAACAATGTAATATTGCTCCAACTGATGCCTCCACTGTTCTTGCATGATATCGGAGAATATGCTCTTGCGTTTTAGAGTCTCTAAGACACTCTCCCCTCTCCAAAAGCCTAAGGACTTTGCTATCTTGCAGACCACATCTCCTAGGGTCACCAGCGTCCCATCACCCCCGTAGTGAGGCGTGGCGAAGAAGACCAACCCTTTGGTCGCAAGCTTGATCGGAGTGTATTTTGAGTTATTGTGCGCGTCAATCAACGCTTGCTTAATCAACAGCCCACCCATGCTGTGCCCTAGAAATATGATCGGCCTGGACCCGATGCCGTTCCTTTCTATTCTTATCTCTTCCAGTAGTTTATTCGCTCGTTCAATAAAAGTGCTTCTATCTTTTCCGTATACAACAGTTGAATTATACTCGTACAGGAAGATTCGCGATTCGGGTAGGTCTCGGGGGAGGTCATCGCGAAGCCAGAGACGCCCTCGTGACCCAGAAGGATAACGCCATGTATCCCACGCATGATCGGCCCTTCTCTTACCGCGAGGATTCAGACCATGAACCGCAATAATACTTAGATGTCTTAGCTACATTGCTGCAAAACTCAAATAAACTTACTCGACTTTTCTGGCTATATCAATGATTCCACTATTCGCGTTATGCGAGTTGGGGTCGGGATGGAGTTGCCGGAGGGGCTATATATCACTGAGTAAGAACTCCTCTGGTTGAAATTGGTTCACTAACCATCGTGATTACTTGCCACCCATATCTGGGTGTTTCATTTATGGTATGATGGATGTATTCGTAAGGAATATAAATGATTCGGCTACTTAAAGTACCTTATGCGTTAGGAAATACCGGGTTTCCGGATTAACGGGTAGGCAGCTAGACGCGAAGTAGGAAAGGGGTTGCAGCCTTGATGTAAGCTCAGCCTCAAAGCTCGTTGGGCATCTCAGAGTAAAACCAAAAGAGCCCAACCCTACGAATATTCTCACCACCTAAGGCTGGAACGTCTCATAACATGACATGTGTAGAGGATATGCGCTTCAATGCAGGCTGAGATTGGCTATCGCTAATAGCGTGCTACTGGAGCAAGCCTTGGAAATAAGTAGGTTGATTGGACTTGATATGCCAAATAACGAGATTGGCTTCATATTGTGCGGGTATTGGATACATAGAAGATTTCAGCCTCACTAATACCAAGTGTGCCGGAGCACATACAAGTAAGAGCCGAAAGCCGAATAGAAGATAGTACCTGTTCTTTGTCGATAATAAGGCTATGATGCACCTTATAGGGAATTGATAGATGTAACATTCACTTCAAATAATAATCGAGGCGGCGAAATGCGAGCAGAGTACGACTAGCTTCTATCCATGAATACCCAGGTATCCAAGCTTGGGTTGCCAGCCCTTTCATTGCTATCCTGTATATCAGTAGATTGACTACCTCTCGCTTCCATACCGTCCCGGTGGGTTCTCTGCTAGGAGGTACTTACGATATTCTAACCTCGTGATCTTTGACAACCTCTTCGGCCTCTTTTCAAATATGCCGTCTCTATGAAACAGGGTACGGTTTTAAATTTAGTTACGCTACTTTCGTCGAAGGTGAAGCGATGGATTATATCATTGACGATATGAGGTGAATAAACTTAAGAGGGTATCATTGAATAGGCCATGTCGAATCAGAACTAAAGGTGTCTAACAAGATCAAGATCATTGGAACTTGGCGGGATTGCTGGGTATCAGTCTCCTTAGCACTTCGATCTGACGCGCTTGTGCCTTGTTCTTTAAATCCGTGACGCCACGTTTATCAGTCCGTCTCGTCCCATTCGAGTATACGACTGTAAAGTCTGGCACTATCTCCCAAGGCTTTATAACGCTGTGAGGCGTTAAGGTGCAGTGCTTTTCCACCGTTAACGCTCGACTTACCATAGCTATATGAGATGAATATAAGATGAACTCACCTTCCCCAGCCTCGCTCCCTTGCCTACTCTGCAGCCTACGCCAACCATACATCCTTCGCCAATCATTGTGCCGCCGGACTCGAGCACTACACCAACTTCGATAGTCACATAGTCGCTAACCACTACGCCGTCGCGTGACTCGCTAGGAGTCGGATCTGCAGAGGTTGCCCCAATGCTTGTTCGTTCGTGGACGATACATCTCCGACCAATCGTGATTCTTCCATTAGAAGAATCTAACTTTGCTCGAGGATGTATGACCGTCTCTGAGCTGATGTTGATGGTGTGGTTTCCTGCCAGAAGGGCAGAATCAGCTATTGTGATTGACGAAGAGAAGTTGACGGGAGCTTTCGGACCGGACTGGACACGCGGAACGATTGACTGGCGTTTAGAGGATGACATATTGCTCCCATATGGGTCGTGTAGGGTGGTGCATCGACGTCGAGAGTATTGATGGGCTCAAACTCATGGCGGCATAAATAGGATTTGTTTGGAAGATGATCAATAATACTGTACGTATGTACCTGACACATGAAATATGCTTATCAGTGATTATCTTGATATGCACAAACCCAGTATTAGCATTAAACGTGACGCATGACGATAAAGCAGCAGAACATTAGATAAAGGCAAAGACATGACCTCATTACTCAGCCATTCAGCCACACCAAAAACCTTAAGGCTAAGGTGATCGCCACAGACGGTAGACCCGCCTCCAGATGTCCCGAACCAATCACATGCCAGTCATTTCTATTCAAAGGCCTCACTTTACTTTAGTTACCTTTTCTACGACAAAACCTACGAATCCCTCTCCGTTGCCATTCGGTCTCTCCACTCCCTCTGCTCAATTGAGCAACCAAACACCTTCAAGATGCTGTCCAGGACTACCGCGCCGTCGGCAGCGTCCGCGAAGGCCCTATCGCGTGTCGCTCTACCATCCTGCTCCAGATTACCGCAACAGTCCACGTCCCAGCAGAACCGAAGTTTCGCGACCGTCCAGGATGGAACCCCGAAACGAACATATGGCGGCCTTAAGGACCAAGACCGCATATTCCAGAACCTCTACGGCCGTTACCCCCCCGATTTAAAATCGGCTAAGAAGATGGGAGATTGGCACAAGACGAAGGAAATCATTTTGAAGGGCCACGACTGGATCATTGGTGAGATTAAGGCTTCGGGCCTACGAGGTAGAGGAGGAGCTGGTTTCCCTTCTGGTTTAAAATGGGTATGTCGGATTATCACAACTCCCACCAGAAGATAATCGCTAATTACTGGCGCGGCGCAGTCGTTTATGAACTTCAAGGATTGGGATAAGGACACAAAACCCCGATACCTGGTTGTCAACGCCGATGAAGGCGAGCCTGGCACCTGCAAAGACCGAGAGATTATGCGAAAGGACCCCCACAAGCTTATTGAAGGATGTCTAGTTGCCGGCCGAGCCATGAACGCCACCGCTGCTTATATTTATATTCGTGGAGAGTTCATCCTCGAAGCTGCCGTCTTACAACGGGCCATCAACGAAGCCTACGCCGATGGATTAATCGGTAAAAATGCCTGCGGCTCCGGATACGATTTTGACGTATACATACACCGCGGTGCTGGTGCATATGTCTGTGGTGAGGAGACGTCATTAATCGAGTCACTGGAGGGCAAACCCGGCAAGCCTCGTCTAAAGCCTCCGTTCCCGGCCGCTGTGGGTGTATTCGGCTGCCCATCTACCGTTGCCAACGTCGAGACTGTTGCTGTCGCTCCCACGATTTGTAGGAGAGGAGGTAGCTGGTTTGCTTCTTTTGGTCGCGAGCGAAACCAAGGAACGAAGCTCTTCTGTGTTTCCGGCCACGTCAACAATCCCGCGACCGTCGAGGAAGAGATGAGCATTCCCCTGCGTGAACTCATCGAGAAGCACTGCGGTGGCGTCAGGGGTGGTTGGGACAATCTACTTGCCATCATTCCTGGTGGCTCGTCTACTCCTATTCTCCCTAAGAGCGTATGTGATGACCAACTAATGGACTTCGACGCTCTTAAGGACAGCCAATCTGGTCTCGGTACTGCTGCCGTCATTGTCATGGACAAGAGCGCCGACGTCGTCCGAGCCATTTCCCGACTAAGTCATTTCTACCGACACGAGTCTTGTGGACAGTGCACGCCGTGCCGTGAGGGTAGCAAGTGGACTGAGCAAATCATGAGCCGCTTCGAGAAGGGAATAGGTCGCGAGCGGGAGATTGATATGTTGCAAGAATTAACGAAACAAGTCGAAGGACACACGATCTGCGGTAAGTCGTTCTCACAATCATTCGCTAATTTATCAAGGGTGATACTGATTTCTTGATAGCTCTCGGCGAGGCGTTTGCCTGGCCCATCCAGGGCCTTATCCGCCACTTTAGACCCGAGCTGCAGGCGAGGATGCAGAAGTATGCAGCGGAACACGGTGGTCAACAAGCTCTGGCTGGTGGATGGGAGCCTAATGCTCGAGCACAAGGCAAGCTTATTGCCCCTGGCCAATAGACTCAAGCGGATCACCTGTTATACTATAGTGCTAGATGGCGTAATGCGAAGGGTTAGAGAAATACTCAACCACGTTGTACACCACAAATACTCGTTACTTTGTACATATCCGCACAGAGGCAGCACTCAATTCCTAGATATTCCTAGGTACCTACTAGTGACACTCAATTTTTATCAAGTAATTCAAATTAATAAGAAATTGTGAGTATAATGTCTTAATACTTGTCATTCATATACATATGTCTAAGGCATTCATACGAGTTCTAATCCCAGTCTAACCCTTTTCATGATCTCATAACTTCGTTCAACAATACGTCGTGAGTCTACCCAACAATCCTATTCGAGTTGACTAAGCATGATAGTTATCCAAAACAGTTATAGAAGCGCTCTTCAAATTCACCAAAGGGATATGATGAGCGTCGAGGTCCGCTACCCCGGACCTACTGACTCCCTACGACTTCTCGTCCACACCTCTCCCACACGTCCATACTTGTCAAGATGGTCGTTGCGAACATAGCTATACCAACGGTACCAGGGTCGGCTTTGATCCAGCCAACCACGCTGCCCGGTAGGACAATGTCAAGAATGCTAGCCGTGGCACCGCGGCCCAGCTTGTACACCTTGGTCGTGATCTCCTGCTTCGGCTCCTGCTTGCGCTTTTCCCGACTTGCCGCCTTTTTCTCGGAAGAGGCTGCTGCTTTTTCAGCTGGGGCGGGCGGCGGCGCGGAAGAGAGCGTGAAGGATATTTCCAGGATGTTGTACACGGCGCTACAGACCAGGGAAAACAGCCAGAACCTCTGGCCCTCGACTGTGATAGTGCGTTCCCGCTCGGCCGTCCAGATTGCTAGCCCGGGGACTTGCAGCGCGTCTACCATCGTGCTGGCTTCCAGCAGTAGATACATTCCCATGAACGTCTTCGAGAAGACATCGATCCACGGGTGCACTTGGGACAGGAATCCGCGCGGTGCTGCGGTTCCTTTCTGGCCCTGAGCGGCGGAGAGCTTGGAGGAGAGCTTCTGCGCCGCGTTGAACGAGTCCAAGAAGCGGAATAGCCGGAAGAAACGCCGGGCGAGCCCCAGACGCTGGTTGAGACCCTTCAGGACGACGCGGGTCGCTGCGGGGGAGGGGGCTTTCTCTGTTGTGAGAATGAAGACCTGGAGGAGCACGTTAAAGGGAAGGGTGAAGTTTGAGAGGATCTGCACGATGGATTGGAACAGGCGGAAAGTCCTTTCCAGACCGACTGTAGATTGATGTTAGTTAACTCGACGAAGAGATATGAGATTTGACTCAGTTATAAAAAAGGATGTAAGGTTCGTGGGATATGATATGAAAGCTATCTTCTTGGTTCGGCGACCAAGTCCGCCGGAAAGTATCAGATCATACCTGAATCGGTCGTGAATTTTATAAATTGTTCAAATTTAAGCGACATCTTAACGGTATGTATGGCCAGCCTCTATTTAATCGAGCTGGATCAAGGCTTGGTGAGTTGAAGAATACCCATGTATCTAAGGGAGGTGAATGGGAAGATTTGGCTTATAAAACATTGTTGAAAAGGGATACTTCTAGGTACCTGTTACTCCGAGCGCGGACGCGGGCGGTTTGTTGGGTCGGGTCGGCTTTACGGACCCGCACCTACTGCGGGTTTCTTGTTCAAGTATAGGTCTCCTTCACAGGTACGGAATATCTTGCATCTTACATAATTCCGCATAGATATTCTATATTCTATATCTATTTTCTACCTCCTAGCTACCTCTATAAACACGGCTTACCCTTGAGCCAAAAGTTCAATCCCGTCGAAGGCTGGGCAGATTGCAAATACACGTATTATTCATATCCGCATGGTGGTTGGAATAACAAGCCCCCTTTTCTTCACACAATATATTGATTTCCTAAACATAAAGAGTGAAAACTAACTCCCTAAACCGTCAGCTCAAAGCTGAAATATAAGGCTTTAATATCATCTTTACTTTCACCCTTTTTCTCCAGTTAATCCGTCTATAAATCTTGCCCCTCTCCGTATTCTTTGGACGTACCTATTCGTTAAATAATCCCCTCGCTTCATCTTGCTCAAGTAATAGGTACTATGTGCCAAAGACATCAAATATAATTACCTAGTAATATGTAACCGAATACTGTTCAATATGTGTGATTAAGAAATTTTAATATTAGTTGAGTATTACTTAGACACGGTGAGAAGTATTTGTTGCTTTACCCTTTTTTAATTTTTGCTTTACGGTTGTTTCGTCGAGTAATAGCTGTACTTACATAGGCCGCTTAAAGAGAAAATTGATGGCACAGTCTTGGCATTTTGATTTTATTAACCTTCTTAAATAATTAGTTAACGATTATATTAGTAAAAATAACCGAAAGTTATTTATAATATAAAGTGGATTATTTTTATACGCGTATATTTTATAACGCGTCACGTAAATTTAAAATTATTATTAATATAATTATTTATATTTATTTATTTATATTTTCTTTATTATTTTTATATTTTAATTTAAATTTTATTATTATAATTTTAATATAATTTTATATTAATTTATTATTATTTTAATTAATTTTTTACTATTTTAATTTTATTTTTATTAATGTATTAATTTATTTTTTCGTTAAATGTAATTTTAAATTTATTTTAATTTTTTTTATATTTTTTATATGTATAAATTTTTTATTTAAATTTAAAATAATTTTATAATATTTTTTAAATTTTATTTTTTTTAACGTAATTATTAATTGTTTAATTTAAAATTTTACGGTTATAAAATTATTTATTTAATTATTAAAAGTTTTATTAAATTTTTAAAATAATAATTACGTAATAAACGTATTAAAAAAAAGGGTAAATAAAAAAAATTTTAATTAAAAATCTTTTATATTTTATAATAATTTAAGTGTAATAACGTTTAATTTAATTAATATTATAATAAAATTAATAAAGTTTAAAGTTATAAATAATAAAATTTAAAAGAAAATATTTTTAAAAATTATTTTAAAGGTTAAATATAAGTTTTTTTAAGGTTTTAACCGTAAAATTAATTATAAATTTAATATTTTTTATTTAATATTAATATATTTAAATTTTATTATTATTAATTATATATAAAAAAGTATTTAAAAAAAGTTTTTTTTATTTATATTTTATAAAAATTATTTAAATAATTATATATGTAAATAAAATTAAAAAAAACGTTTAAAAATAATAAATATATTTATATTAAAAGGTTAAAATATATAAAATGTATAAATTAAAAAAAAAAAATATATATTTTATTTAAAAGATATTTTTATATAAATTTATTATTTATATAATTATTATAATTATTAAATATAAATAAACGTTATTATATAAAATTTTTTAATTTAATATTTAATATATATATTTTTTTAAATTATTTAAAAACAATATTATTATTTATTTAATTGTTAATAAATATAATAAAATATTAAATTTTATACGGTTAATTTTTTTTATTAAAAAATTATTATTATTATATATTTATACCGTTAAAAATTATTAATAATAATAATATTATATTTATAATTATTATAATAATTATTATTATAATTTATTTACATTTTAATAGATTTTTAAAAAAAATATATTTACAGTAAATTTTATTAAATATTAAATAATTATTTTTAACGTTTTTTATTAATTTAAATTTATTAACGTTTATATGAAAAATTAATAAAATAATAGTTATTTTAAAAATTTTTAATTAAGTAAATAATTTATTTAATAATTTAATTATAATATTATTTAAATGTTTATAATTTATAATACGATTTTTAATATTTTTAATTTTAAAATAATAATGTAAAAAATTAATATATTAATTTTTTTTAAAATTTAAATATATACCGTTATATAAAAAAAAATATTAAATAAATAGTTTAAATTTAAAATATAATAATATATAACTTAAAATTTTTTATATAATAATTTAATAAATTAAATAGTTTTTTTAAATTTTAAATAACTTTTAATAAACTTTATTAAAGTTTATTCGGGTTAATATATTTTTTATATATCGATTAATATAATAATAATTAATTTAATAATATTATAACACATTATAAATAAACCGTTTATTTTTAACGTTATAAATAATAATTATTATATAAAATTAAATTAAAAATTATATATTATTAAAAAAAAAAAAATTAAAAAATTTAATAATATAAAAAAATTTTAATAATTATAATAAAAAAGTTTTATTATATAAAAAATTAAATTAATAAATGGATTAATTACGTTTTTTTAATTAATAAAAATTACGTAACGCGTTATAAAGTATACGCGTATAAAAGTAATCCACCTTATATTATTTTATTCTTAAAAAACCAATTAATATATTTATTAACTTTATCTATTTTCCCGATTTTTCTTTTAAAAAAAGTGACTATTGTAAATTGTATATTATGGGCTACCCAGACATTGGAAATCTGAATGCGATATTTATTGTTGACTACTTCGTTCTCCGATTTCAAACAGGGGTAGTATACCCCCAGACCCCTTCTCCATATCATTCGCACGGTTCGCAATGTTGCATTCATCGTCGTCGGAGTTGACGGATATCAACTAGTTAAGCATTTGAAACCATGATTATAGTCCCGCCATTTATTATCGTGGAAGCAGTCCCAAGGATCGGTTTGTGGGTACCAAGACCCCGGATACCAAGCTTCGCTCGATCCGGTGGAATGGAAACCCCTTTCCCACTTACATCCAATCGTACTAGTGTATACACATTCCCGGCTCAGACGATCCTAAAGCCCCTGAATCTATAACCTGATTCTCGTTTGAGTCCCTGTCTGACAGATCGTTATAGAATCGTTATAGGCCTTACCATGGTAAGATGGTGGTGTGAATACGGTCCAAACAATTAAATGGTTACGGGGTTTATATCGGTATAATGAGCGTCAAATAAGGAATAAACCATAATATTTTTGTTACAATGCTCCTAAAGAAGCTCGCGTTCCAATGATGGGAGCCATGGCCAGCATAGGCGGATAAATGAGCGGTCATATTCTCCATAGACAAGAAGAGCCTCTTAAGACTCATCCAAGTTAGAAATGTTTTGCGTACATCAATTCAACCATAAATTTATTATTAATCTGGATAGCGCAGGCTTGTAATTAAATAATCGTACCGAGTGTAGTTGGTGTGTGGCTATTGCTGAGCCTTTTTTTTTTCTTTCTAACATTCGCTATGCTGTTACCTATCGAAGTTTTCATCTATGCCCCCCTTTAAAAGATAACAATCCATCCCAACTTTTAGTTCCGAGTGACAGTCCATTTCGTCTCAACGGCGATCGCGTTCTTTCCTGGTGACTGGGTAGACGTGGTCAAGTTCTTCTCTGACCCAGACTCATCGCCGTACGTAGCTGTCGTACCATCGAACTTACCCGCCTCCTGGTTGTTGTAGTCGTCCATCTCCCAAGTTGTCATGTTCATAGTGTCCGTCAAGGTGTTCGCGTTCTTGCTTCTTTGGCCGGAATTTTTCATGCCTTTAGATCCTCCGATAGTCTGCACATCCGAATATTCACGCAACTTGGAGGCGCCGCGAGTGCTTTCCTTATATCTCACCCAGAACGGTCGAAGCATCGGGATGCTGACGCAGAGAATAGCCAGGTTGGGCTCCAGGATGAAGAGGAAAACCGTGGTAGGCATTGTGCCTGTGATATTGCTGTTCAGATCCACTGTGGAAATGTATATCACTCGGAAGACGGCACAAATAACACAGCTTGAACTACTGTTAGCAAGAAACCTCGTAGATTAGGGGAAGAGGGAGCTTTACGCAATACCCAACGCGAAGCATGAAGTGATTCCAATCTTATCAGTCGTTCGCGTTTGTAAAGACCAGATAATCTTCATTGGGAGCGCCATGATGACAATATCTCCGATAGCGTTTGTCACAATCAAAGATTGAATCATGGGGATATATGCACCACATTTGCCGATACCAGTCCACTGTCCCGAGATGGGAGTGCAGAGGAAAATGCAGGAGGCGAGATAGGATACGAGCCAGGCCGCCACGAATCCCAAACAGATCTGGGCAGCGCGTTGCATGAAAGGGGTGGCGAAAACGCGCAGGAAGAAGAACAGCATGCTCGCTTTTACTGATGCTAAGAGGGTGACATATATAACTTGCATACAAAATGTCAACTAGTAGAGTGTAAGTAAAACTTGATATGTGGAAGTCAGTTGAACGTTGATGAAGCTCGTACTTGAAGGATAAATGGAATATTAGCCGCAACTAGTGAATGGTCCAGAAGTTAGTATTGTACCTAATTAACTCGAGTTTCGAAGATCTCAGACTTTACGGCCGATGTATCGAGAACAAAAAGGAGGTCAAGTGGTGGGAGTCAACTCCGTAATTTTACGTATGACTTACGTTCTGGATGTTCGGGCAAATTGTAGCCATTTCCTACAGGCGCAACTAGGTCAAATTGTCAGCCCGCTTCCCTTCTCATATCATTGAGGATTGAATTCAAATAAGACAGAAAAAACTTACAAAGGCCTTGGCATACTAACATGCCGACACCTAAAGGCTATAAACCAGTCAGAATATTGGCTGTAGCGCATAGATAGGAGGAGGAGGAACAAACCGTCGCGAAGATAACCATATAATCATCCCAACCCAGTCCCGGTCCATTGAGTCGTCCTATAACTCTTAACGTGACAGTCGCCAAAACCAGCAAGACCAAAACACAATTGATGACGAGTTCAGCTTTCACGAAGCCTAGTACAGGCATGTAGACATGGGGAATCGCATTGACCGACGACATGTTGATTGATCAAAACCCGAAAAAGAAGAATATAGTCAGTTTCTAACCTGGAGCGATGGTAAGCGATCTTCTTTATATTAATACATAGTAACGACAGTTTTCTAGAATGGGGAGTATCCAGTATCCAGGGTGTGGCCCAATCGAAATCGAATGTTAAATAAACCTGGAGAGCCCTAGGGTTACATAGGCCTTTCCCGTCGGTGTTGGCGCCCCGTAATTCTCTCAAATGCCTGCCTCTTTCCCCTGTCTAGACTCTACTCAAGTGGTGGTCGTTGAATTGAAAACTCTTACGTTGATTTAACATAGCAGGATCCTATGTATGTAATAGACGTCCCAGGTTCTGTTTCATGGAATAGTCGCAATACCGTATACTGAACGATAGATCCGGTAGATAGACCAAGTTCCAGCCCTGATATAAGACTTATTTATAAACGAATGGCGATTCTGAAGTAGTTATACCTAACAATCAGATAGTTATAGTTTAGTCAAATTTAAGATTCGAGCAGAAAGGATGGAAGCATGCTACTCAAGTATATATGCTACAGATATAGGGTATTTTAAGTAGGTAATTATGCTGACAACTACCGGGAGACAAGATCTATCTAGTGCTGTTCCTGAGACTCTAGCATATCCCCCATCCATAGTGTATATATACCCTTGCCATTAACATACGACACGCAATTCTACCTACGTACTATGTAGAACATAGGAAAGCAAAAATACAGACAACCTACTTTACGGAGTTCATTCCGGGGCGCAAGGCTACTAGGAGCCCCTTTATATCGCAAAAATCTCCGACTGGTAAACCCAAAGAGGGGCCTTCATATTAATTATTTAGATTGGCCAAAAGACTACTTGGCAGTTTTCGCATGCAGGTTCATGCGGGTAAGAATATGCTCACATATGTAGGTACTATTATGTATGTAGAGATAGAGATAGATTACGATACGAGTCGGAATGCTTGTCAAGTAAACAAGAAAAGAGTTGCGCTAGCCCCTCCACTGTTACATTGTGACATAAAGCAGACAGCGGTCAATATGAAGCTATCCTCGGTGAAGCTAGTCGCGACATTTTACCCGCTAGACCATATATGTAGTAGTCTTAGTCTATCAAACGGCGAGAAGCATTCTAAGACGAATTAGGCATTTTTTGTAACATGGAAAACCCGGAGTTAGTATTCGAGTTAGTATTCCTTAAGATGATTTTTTTCGTAAGCAGCAAATGCGCCGGTCCCTTTTTGTATTAGTTCAAATTTCACAAGAGGCTCTATTTTAGCTCGCCCGGGCTACCGGTAGAGAGACTAGACTAGAATGCTGCTCAGGTGCTGGCGCGGCCAAAGTTTCCGTTAGTAAAGCCGAACAGAAGAGGCAACTAATTGGAAGTTCCCGTTGAGACTTACATAAACACACTAGATAACGACTAGCTCATAGCTAGCTCGAATAACTCAAACTAAGCGGATACGCTCAGACGCTATAGAGTTAGTGTGACAGGTGTGGATACGCAACTTGCCATATTCCCTGCTACGGCGCTACGGCATGAAGGAGCCATCATCACGGCACTCGACGTGTTTTGGCTTCACTAGAGACAGAAAACCCTATGATTATCAGGCGTTAATTATAATGTTTAGCAAGAAAATATTTTTCATGAGACAAGCATCCCATGTATACATTCGTTATGGCCTGAATAATAAAAATTAAATACCAAGATGACCCCAGGATTTCCTACTGAATATATAGGTATCTATCCGTGATATCTGATTCAATGGCTGCGAAAAGCCAAGCAGACCAGCTAAAATAGCCAAATGAGGGACTAATTAACATACATACTCCTCTTATGTCTAGAAACCTTATTGGATGCTATGATTGCGTCCGATGACAGTTCTGCGACTAGGTAAACCTTGCAGTATGAACGAACTCGTTACTACTTATAGGCAAGATTATACCTAGGCAAGAAGAACAAAGTCAACACCGCAGCTGGGTTATCGTACCCATACTGAGAGACATACTGAGAGACATTATAGCTTCTTCTCGCGGAATAGTAGAAGCCTATATATGTTTAGCTGTGAGTAATATAGTAGCATCTGCCGGTAGCATCTACCATCTTTAAAAGAGGGCATAAAGGGGGCGTCTCGATGCAAGTGGATAAAGCGCCTAGCCATTAGTCGGTCAACTTCTCCGGATTTGCTCTTATTCCGCGCCTTATCTATTTTTTAGCAGCCAGTTGCGCCTTAACAAGTTGCTAGTATACCATTATTTGTGGCCAACAGTTGGAAATTCGAAGACGGTGAGTTGACTAAGTCACATAGATGATGGAGATGACGGGATGACCGGAAATATGGAACTATTTAAGGCGGTGAACATTCGGAGAATTATACTAAATTTGGGCGAGACGAGGCAAAGGTAATCTTTATATAAGTATCAAGGCGATGAGAGTGCAAGTAAAAAGAACATATTCTACAATAACTAACCATCAAATATCATCAACCATGGCATCATCAACACCAACCACTTACACCACGAAGCAGTGGATCCTCGCTTCGAAGCCCACGGGTGCTCCGGTGCTCTCCGGCCCCGACGCAACATTCAAATTACAGACGACGACGCTGCCGCAGCTGAAGGAAGGCCAACTCCTGTGCAAGGTGCGATATTTCTCCAACGACACCGGCCTCCGCAATTTCATCCAGAGCACAGTCGCGCCCGAGCGCTTCTACGTGCCCACGGTCCCTGTGGGGTCGCCTATGCGATCGGGCATTATTGCCGAGGTAATCGAGTCCGCGGCACCGAATCACAAAGCCGGAGATCTGGTTATGGATTTCCACCTCGGCACTTGGAGCGAGCTCGTCATCCTCGACGCCGCTACTTCGCAACCTCTGGCTCCTTTGCCCAATAACCTGCCTCTTACCCATTACCTTGGTGCGTTCGGCGCATCCGGACTTGCGGCATACACCGGCCTGGCTTACGCCGGAGGTGTAAAGGCCGGAGACACGGTTGTGGTGTCTGCGGCTGCTGGTGCTACGGGATGCATGGCCGTGCAGATTGCGAAAGTGCTTCTGGGTGCTAAGCGTGTTATTGGTATTGCTGGTTCGGATGAGAAGTGCACCTGGGTACGGGAGCAGCTCGGTGCCGACGCGTGCATCAACTACAAGAGCCCGACTTTCGTAGAGGAGCTAAAGGCCGCGACGCCAGATGAGGTTGACGTATACTTGGACAATGTGGGGGGCCACGTGTTGGATGCCATGTTGACGCGCATGAAGAAGAACGGCAACATTGCCGTGTGCGGCGCAGTCAGCGGGTACAACTCGGACGAGCCCATGTCTCTGAAGAACTGGTTCGAGGTCGTCTCCATGAGGATCAACATCCGCGGATTTATCATGCTGGACTACCTAGACAAGGCTCCTGCTATCCTTAAGGATCTCATCGGCGCTGCGGCGGACGGTAGAATCAAGCTGCAGAACAGCCAGACTACAGTAGAGGCCAAGATCGAGGAGCAGCCCGAGATATGGATGCGGCTGTTCACGGGCGGAAACCAGGGCAAGCTGCTCACCAAGCTCATTGTTTAGAATTAGAGGCTGCTACAAAATATAGATATACCATATTTCATAGGATAATGCTGGCCTCTTCCTAGCTCAAATACATAGTAACTACCAGATAATATTTCAACATGTCTTCACATTGCTACCTACTAGGATAACTATAGAAATACCTTGAGTAGGTACCTAACCTAACCTAACCTACCCAGGTAGTTTTCGATTAATATGAGGTTCACTCCAGGGTTCTCGATCAATTTCTCGTGTGCACTGACTTACCAGCTCAATTACGAAAGCATGTACATAGTAACGTATCTGTAAAAGAGTTCTGTCTGGTTCAACTGATCGTCGTCTGTGCATATTTCAATGTACAATATGTAGGTACATAGGTAGGTATCTTGGCTAATTAATCTCGAGATCTGATAGTTCGCCCACGGGCCACACCCTTTCGTCCGGCCGAACTTCACCAGTAGCTCGAGCCTCGTGGGTCTCGTTTCTGATTTTCGTGGAGTTATGCCTGACCAGAAACTAAAACCCTGATTGTATGTCTTAGTGTCAGGTTGATATATATGTATCAGATTCAGGCATGAATACAAATCCACGTGCTGGGACGCGACGCATATTTGGATCTACACTACTTCTTGGACCCTTACAACCACGTGTCCACGACCATCTCCTCGGTGTCGCCGGCCAAGACAGTAGCCACGAGTCCCGTATACGGATTGGTACTAGCTTGTCAGCAATTTCCATATGGTATTTCCGACCGCCGTTATTTACACGATAGACGATAGACGACAGACGATAGGCGACAGGCGGCACGCCAAATGAACAAGCATACCCTTTGTGAAACCCCACCTAGAATATTGACGATGCCTAAGAACAGTTTTAGTCTTCTCAGATATGGTAATATCCTCGAATAGACGCTCACAAGTTTCGTCGAGTTTAACATACAGCCATAATCTTTAACTATCAAAATTAGCAATACCTAAGGCTGTATTAGGATATCTCGAAACCTTGCGGGAGACGCGATGTTGCCTTAGGCCCAATCTCCCGTGTTATGAACCTACTGGTAATGCTGGATCTTGTCTGGTATGAATATACTCCTAGAGAACTTGCTCTGTTATGTAATTGTTTAGTTTTAATGGTCGTTAGATAGCCTCACGTTGTTTTACGACCATACTCAAATGGCAATATCTATATAGTTGACAAGACGGCACCCTGACTTATATACTTTAACTATAGTAGGTATAATACAACCATTATGAACTATTGAAATGGTAAATGAGGGTTATGCGGATATTGTTACACATTTACGATACATGCAACTACGGTTGATACTCGATTTATTAGCATAAATGATGTATCAGCTGATGCATGTCCATTAGGATCTTCAAGACTATGCCTTTGCGTAACATTCGTCAAGCGATACCTATGTAAAGCCATGAGCTCTTCGGCGTTAGGAATGTAGCGGGGTATCATCAGCACTGCATTGGCAGCAAAACACGACGTTGCAGGATATGCAGAACTGCAAACGATTCAACAATGAACTGATGAACCGGAGAAAAAGGAGATATGTGATATGTAGGCATTCCTTCATCGCCAAATATCCCCTTAAATGGTAACTACCCTTAACCCTTAAAGCTTTGGCTTGCTTTAACTCCTATTTTGTTAACTCCGAATAACCATCCTAACTCCGCCATCCCTAGAGCGAATGTTAACGCGATAGCGAATATGTCAGATGGCCGTGGCGGATGGCGGATCGTACCTATTGTCTCGGATACAGCTTATAGCCCGCCTTGGGTGAATTCAACTCCGGACCGTAAATGCGTAGTTAATTACTTCCTACCTCCTAAGTTACTTACACTTCGGAAGATAGGTATTCTCTAACTAACGACGGGCTATTAATTACACGGCTTACACGGCTTACACGGAGATAATTACATGTCCCTTTCCTATATATATATATAATTCCCCCTCCCCTCGCTGTCCATATATATTATAGCTTTTTATATAGTTAATCATACTGAATAGAAAGAATAGTTAAGTCATGGTTGATGAATAATAGCACCGTCCAGCAACAAGCTTAAAAGCCCCCCCTACTTCAGTTTCAACCCTTCCCTCCAACTCCACCCTCCACCCTCCACCCACCAGCTTCCTCTCCGCCATGCCTCCGATAGCCGGCCAAACCCTCCTAGTCATCGGCGGGACATCCGGGATCGGGGCCGCGGTAGCCAAGCTCGCCGCGGCCGAGGGTCTCGACGTCTCCGTCGCATCGTCGAACCCGAGCCGGGTCCAAGCCGCCGTCGAGGCCATCCGGGATGCCGTCGTACCCGGCGCCCGCGCCCGCATCCGCGGCTACGTGTGCGACGTGAACCACGACGACGCCGAGTCCAGCCTCGAGCAGCTGCTCTCCGACGTGACCAACGCCAACGGGCGTCCCCTCGACCACGTCGTGTACACGGCCGTCGCGCTGGACGACGTGCGTCCCGTCGCCGACGTGAACATGAAGTACCTGCGCGACAGCATGCAGTTCGGCTACGTAGCGCCGCTGCTCATCGCCAAGCTAGCCCCGCGCTACGTGAACCAGAGCTACAAGTCGTCGCTGACCTTCACGAGCGGCCGCGTTGCCGAGCGACCTGTCAAGGGTATGACGGTCGCCTCGGGCTGGGGTGCGTCGCTCTTTGGCACCACGCGCGGTCTCGCGCTCGACCTCGCGCCCGTGCGTGTGAACCTCGTGAGTCCTGGTGCTACTGACACCAAGAGCGGCGAGGAATGGGCTCGGTGGGTGGACATGATGGCCAAGACTTCCTTGCTCGGAAAAATCGGGACTCCCGAGGAGGTCGCAGAGGCGTACATCTATTTGATGAAGGACACTAACAGCACGGGAAGCTGTGTAAGTACAAACGGAGGCATCTTAGTTCAGTAGAATAACAACTGGTATCGAATGCCTGAAAGGCCGGAGTGGTATGTATCGGTTAGGTAGTCTAAGATATACCAATTAGAAATGAGAATTACAAGTAGGTCGAATTATTGTTATGCTATTGGCACCTTTTATTACCGAATCGTATTATTCCCCTTTATTTGATGTTTCAATGGGGAATCAACTTAGACGGGTCATATCTTAGGTACTACTGTTGTCTAGCAGTGACATTGAGAAAACACAAGATATTTGCACAAAAGAGATATGCGTACCATTCATACGTACGTCTAATCACTAATAAAGCTACAATAATGCTAACGCCCTTCATGTCCCGGCCCCAACCTGGCCAACCCCTTTTCAAGTTACAGGTATGACATACATATCAGGAAATGATCCATGAATTCCTCAATCCATAATAGAGCGATATTTAATCAGGTGCAAGCCATATTGCTGATTGTGTACCAGTATGAGCGCAGCGCGTATTAAAACTTGGAGTAGCAACTGCGCACTACCGGTACGGCCTGCGTCTCTATTGCTGACCGCCACCCCCCCGCGGCCTCTTTGCACCATTGCCGATTTCCGAGTCGCCGCGAGGACGTTTATTTCCAGGTTGAAAGTTATCGACCGAGGGATTCAAGCTGGGCCGACCCTGTCCACGGCCCCCACGGTTTCCCGTTCCAACACGGCCACCACCTCGCGCCTGGTTAGGTCCGCTTGGCTTGCGGATGCCCGCGGTTGGCACTGGAAGGCCGGTGGCCTTTGTCGGAATTTGCGATACTGCTGAGGGTTGAGCAGGTGTTTGTGAGGTAGTTATCGATCCTGGCTGGGATGCGGGATTCTGTGAAGTTTGAGAAAAAGGGGTTTGAGGCCTGGAAGCCGACTGGGAGAAGGCATTATTAGTCGCGGGAGCGTTTGGAACCGCACCCGGCTTAGGTATCCCGCTGGTCGGAGCAGATTTTGGTTCTTGAGAGTTTGTTGCCGTGCTTGTAGGTTGGGTACTAGGAACTAGGGGATTGTTAGTAAAAGGAACCAACTCCTCGGACAACTGGGGTATTAGAAAGAACATACTCGTTGCAGCGTTCGCTGTTGCCGAAGCAGCTTGCGATTCCGTAGCAGTTGGCTGCTTAGGGGCCGGCGGAGGGGGCTTTGCATCTTTCGCAATCTCCCAAACTTCACCAACAGGTCGCTGTGGCGTCTCCTTTGCGGCCGTTTCCACCACAACTAACTTAACGGCAGCAGCTTGGGCCCTCTTCTCAGTCATGTTGAGTTTTAGGTTGCTCTTCGATGTAGCTAACGCAGTAGCTTGCTCTCGTGCTTGAACAACCTTTTGCTCCCACTCTATTTTCAACGCCTCTTGCTCCTCGCGTACCTTCTTGGTTTCGATCGCGAGTTTATTTTTAATGTTATTCTGAATAATACTTTTGATCGTCGCATTAGTAGACACAAGATCCCGGATCTCTTTGTCATTTAGCGTGCTCAAGTTCGCTGCCGAACTTGAAGGCGTTCCTGCTGGAGTAGTAGAAAAATTCTGTCGAGCTGGGGTGGCGGGCGGTTTCATGTCGCTGGGCGCGTTGCCATGCTCTGCTTCCCAGATCTTCCGCTCTTGTTCCATACGAAGCTTGAAATCTGCCTCTAGTTTTTCAATGTCCTGCTTCATCTGGGCTCTTTCCTCTTCCATCTGTGCCTTATAATCCGATAGGCGTTTGTTTAGAGACTCTTTCATCTTATCACTTCTCGTCTTGACTATCTGTTCATGCTTTTCATCCAATTCCTTGAATTTGGCTTCCCATTCAGCGGCCCTAGCTGCAGCCTCGGATATCCTCTCTTCAAGAGCTTTGCGCTCGTCGTCAGATAGCGGTACCGCTGATGGCCGTTCTTCTGAAACGACCGTTCCGTTTTCCATCGTTGTGTCGCCGTTGGTCGCTTGAGCCTGGGAGTTGGCAATGGCCTGATCCCGTTCCGCGATTGCCGAATTCAGTTGGTTGCGAGTGTTTTGTAATTCTTCCTCGATGGCAGATTTTTGTGATGAGACGTTGTCTAACTCTGCACGCACTTCTGCCAATTGACTCTGCAAGGTGGACAGTGCCTGAGTATCAGATGAATCTGCCGGGGCAGAGGCGGCGGAGTTCTTTCGTGCCTCGTCTTGAAGGGTCTCAACTTGTCGTTTGAAATTATTGATCTGCTCCTCTAAGCCAAGTCTCGCCTTCTTGGATTGTTCCAATTCCTCTTGGGTTGTCGAAAGTTGACCAGAGACTTCGCTTAGCCTTGTCTGAAGCCTGTCCCTTTCGGCGACAACTTCATTCTTAGCGTTGGTAAGAGTTCTAGATCGCTCCTTGGCAGAGTTGATTAGTTTCTCTCGTGTCACGGACCAGGAAGCTTCTTTTTCTTCAATGGTCTTTTCCAACTCCTGTATTCTCTCTCTCAAAGGTGCTTCAGCTTCTTGCAGAGCGTTTCTCTCCGACTCGAGCTTGGCGACCATTTGCTTAAGTTCTTCAACTTCCGCTGGGTCCGTCCTGCCATGTTTCGAGAGAATATCCTCTGTTCGCTTTTGCCAGCGATCTCGGTCTTCGTGGAGCTGTTTCATTTCAGCTTCTCTAAAGGCCTGCTGACTCTGGAGCTCCTCAATCTGTGCTTCGAGGGGCTGGATAGTAGATTCCAATTCTGAGATCCTGGCAGTCTTCTCGGCTAATTGGGCTTGCGCTTGACGTGCTTCTGTCCGCAAAGCGGCGCTACTTTCCCGGAATAGGTTGAGCTCCTCTAGCTTGCCCATGAGATCCTTATGGGCTATAGAACTTCGATCGCTGTCACCCTGTGAACGGCGTTCCTGTTCAAGCTTCAGCCTAGTATCGTCGAGTTGCGATTGCGTATATTCGAGTTGTTGTTGCAGTCTCTTGGCCTCTTGCACTTTAAGATCATACTGTACTTCCAGGATATCTTTCTCGCGACGAAGGTAATTGCTCAATTCTCGGAATTTATCGGCATCGGAGCTGCTAGGTTGCGCGGCAATAGCTTCAAGTGACTCATCGGTAGAGGTCCGACTTTGCTGTAGGGCTGAGACCTGTTTTATTACGTCCTCTAGTTGCTGATGAAGGAGCTTATTTTGTGCATTGGCATCATCTCTACGAGCACGGAGTTCTGTGATTTCTCGCTCAAATCGTTGTCGTCGTTCATCCCAAGAATTCTGGCTCTGTATCAGAGTGGCTTTCGCTGATTCGGCTTCTGCTTTCCAGGTTGCTGCGGAAGTCTTCAGTTGGTTATATTCGTTACGAAGATTGGATAGTGATTTCGCGGTTTCTCCATGTTTCATAACCTCACTTTCGTACGCTTGCTGCGCGTGGGCTGCGATCTCGGCCTGTGCACGAAGGTCTTGTTGATGAAATTGCGAGGATGCTGTGTATCTTTCCTCCTCATCCTTCAGACGCTTAATTTCTTCGTCGAGGATAGCTTTCTCATCCTCGAATCGTTTAGCGATCTCGGCCTGGGAGTCACGCAGACTCGACAATTCGTTATTAGATCTTGCCAATTCTGCCGACAAATCCTCCACTCGCTGCTCAAGCTCCTTGATCGTGGCATCTTTGGCTGAAATTGCCGCATCCATCTCTTGCTGGTACTGCTCCTGTGTAGAGTTGATCCTCTCAAGCTCCTCTTCCGACGCTTGGCTCAATTCTTTGTACCTTTCAACTTGCACTTGGGCGTTCTCCAGATGTGACCTCGTCATCTCTAGGTCGCGCTTGAGATCCGTTACCTCATGAATTAGATCTTGTATGCGCTCGTCGGAATCGGCTTGTGCGATACCTTGTTCAGATACAGGGACGATGGATCCCGGCCTTGGCGTAGGTCTTGGCTGGAGTCTCTCCGCGCGCTCTTCTGCACTTCGTAATTGGATCGTTAGCTCGTCAACTCTGCTCTGGAGGTGATCTCGACTGGTCTTAGTAGCCACGAGTTCTTCGCGGATCTGACTTAGGTTCGTAGTGAGCTCATCGATCCGTTTCTGGAACTGTTGAGCATCGTATTCCTTGCGAAGCTGCGCCTTCTTCCCTTCCTCAACTTCGTCAGCTAACTTTCGTCTGGTGGTATTGAGATCGGTTTCTAAAGAATCAATCTGGGATTGGAGACGTCGTTTCATTTCGGATTCGCTCAGCTCGCGTTCGTTCTGGAGAGTCTGCTGCGTAGCGACTAAGCCATTTAGACGCGACTTCTCCTGCATCAGAATCTCGTTGTCTTGGCTTAGTCTATCGTGGATATCTTTTAACAATTTCTTTTCTGCTTTGAGGTTTGCATTTTCACTGCGCATACTTTCAAGTAATCCTCGGGCCTCGACTAAATCCTCAGCCACTTGCTGCGTGCGTATGTCTTGCTTCGCGGCGGACTCGGACATTGTCTGGTTTCTCCTCTGGAGCTCCTGGTTCTCGCTTTGCAGAGCGGCAAAGTTCGACTGTAGGATTTCATGCCGCTCTGATGCAAGAGAGAGTTGGCTCTGCAACTTGGAAACCTCGGCTTGGAGTGAATTCCTCATTGCAGATAGCTTCTCTAGTTGCTCTTTCATGGTTTTGCGGTCAACAGTTTGCTCAGTTCGATAGAGATCAAAATTTTGCTGTAGATCCCGGAGTAGGGTGGTGTAATCAGAACCATCGTCGTTTGCGGTAGAATTCTGCTCGATGCTAGCAAGAACCCCGTCCTGTGTAGAACGGCCTAAGGCTGAAGCCATTTCGTCGGCAGATGCTCTTGACTCTACTATGCGGCGGAACATGTCCCTCTCTTTTGTGATGCTTTCAGTCTTGACTTGGAAACCTCTCAGGGTGTCCTTGAAGATTTCCAGCTCCTGCTCGAGCCGTATACGTTCCTTGTGATCCTCCATTGCTTGGCTCTTAGCGGCAATGGCTTCTTCATTCTCCATTCTCTCCGCAAGCTCATGGGTAACCTGGAGGAGTTGTTCGTTCCGTTCTTGAAGCTCCTTGATGTTCTTAAAGACGACTAAACGTTCGAGGATCGAAGTATGAGCATTTAACTCCTCGTCTCCTGTCTGCTCGTGTAGCTGGCCCATTTCCAGCCTCTGAAGTACCAGTCTCTCGTCTGAAGTAAGCTGGTCCAGGCCCTTCTCGAGGCAATGCACATTGAAAGTCAGC